GGGCAGTCCGATGTTCCCAGTTTCAACGAATCTCGTATGACCCTTTGCTTAGTTAATAGAGCGGCAAGAAAGGGGGATGAACAATGGCTTACTGTTGGAGGCCAATTCGATCCTGGGTGCTATCTTTCCCACTCTTGGAAAATATTTGAATAGGAGAACAGCGTTTGCGGAGATCGATGTGTATTTGGCAGTACTCGCCATCAATCTTCTGCTCGCAACTCATATCCCGGGATTTGCCCATATCTAGACAATGCTTAATGCTTCTCCCTTTGAGCCATGTTTGCCGACCAACTTTTGTACCGATAGCTGGTTTCAGCAAACTGGCAATGACGGTCTGATCGCAGGATGGCTGGCTGACCTGCTGTAAGAAGGTAGTGGCTGTGGTAAAATCGTCTCTTACCTTCATTAGCTGAGGTAGGAGATCGTTATAGCAACGGAATATAAGACGTTCATCTATAACCACCGGCCGGTAGTTCTTTAATACTAGCCTTGTAAACCATTTTGCATCGCGCGGACTGAGTTGCCTGTAAATGGTGGCTAGAGATCGATCCTGGTCTCTAGAGTCTTGGGTCCTACGCGAAGCTCTAACTAAAGGCGAACTAAATCGACAAGCCGCTGCAATGCGGTTTAGAGTATCATCAATCTCCTCTACCGTGAGCTCCTTGCAATCTCGTGTATCATTAGGCTTCGGGGTTGTTAGCAACTTGAATAGTGATTTGGGTTGTTGTCATTAACTAGGAAGGGTGCTTACCGTACGTTTTAAGATACCTTCAACGCAATCGGCAAGGTCTACGCCCAGACCGGGAGTTCTGTATCTTCCGAGTTCTTGCAATCGTGAGGCTCCTAGAAGCAAGGCTTTACCAAATATACTTTCAAGCCTTGCAGCTTGGATAAGGTAGACTCTGTCTGTTCTTCTTTCTGGTAGTAAAGTGGATAATATGGCGCTTGGATCATTCTCGGATGCATCGAGACTCGAACGATGCTCACGAAACCACGTTTCGATTATGTTCCTGGCGGGAGTCTGTTTATACTCGTCTTTTCGAGACTCATTTTCAAGTTGTTGGAGTAGATCGCATATATATTTGTACGGAAAAGGCATTGCAACCGCGGAAATTGGTATAAAGAGACGGAGTGCAAATACGCAAATGTTCAAAAAAGAACCTGGCTCCTCGAGGAATAAGAATACAACTACGGAAAGAAACAATCAACCTCCATAATCATATGCTTATAATTATATGCTCATATTCATAGGCAGTAGAAAGTGCATTGTTCCTGACGTGTAAGAAGGAATGTCCTTGTGATGCCTGACGGACGTCCTTAGTTTTGTCAATTGCAGATTGTTCATGTTCAAAGTGTCACAAAGACCAACATTAAATTATGCAGGCACCTACAAGCACAAAACCTTATCGCGCTTAATTCGGAATGAAGGATACGCGTGCGTGTGGGTGCGACGCGACATATGTAGGTAGCCCATGGGTATTCACGTGAGATATTTAGGTTCTGTTATATAGAAGATACTTTAGGTACGTACCTACTCTATGAAACTTGGGTCATTTGATGTTACACGTGTATGTCTGTGTGTGCTACCGTACTTTGAAGCATAGCAGCAATTGAAGCATAGCAGCACCGAAATCTCCACTCGCTAAGTGAACGTCATTACCTAATTTAGTCCATGCAGGGTCGGGACTTGCGGACTAAAAACATCGTCCCAATCAAAACTCTTGCAACAATTTTCCGCAGTTGACGAGCCACACAAGCCCTCGTCAACGGTCACCCACGTCTTGCCCCTGAATGCACAAAACAGCTCATGCAGCCATGAGATGAGCGGACGATTGATTTTGTGGGGTCTCTCCGTCACGTTGACCGGGGATCGAGAGATACAGTCAGCCCAAAATAAAGGCAACGAAATGAAATTAAAGCAAACCTCAGACCCGAGTCCGTTTGTCATCGAAATTCCCTGCTGCTATCCTCCTCATCGTCCTACATACTTAATAATAACTAATAAAAATATATCTCGTCTTTTCATCTTTTAACCTACTAATCTACTTTTTTAACTGTTTACCTGTTAAACCTTCAAACTACAACATTCTCTTTACAGTATCGTGTATAATCATATTCCAACCCTATTCCATAAACTTCTAATCCTATCCCTCTTTTGGAAGATATGGGCCCTGGTCAACCCCAGTACATTCACTTATCATTCGTCGCCTAACAAGGTCCAGCTACGACACCCCCGGACGACGCCATACAGGTTACTTCCATTGGCTCTCCTATTACAGCAAAGTCCGTGTGGTCCTGCGTACCCCCCCTACCCCCCAATTTCCCAGCTTCTCAAACGAGCTCCAGTCTTCCGCCCTGAATTTCGATCCCCATCTGGCCCATCTGCCTCTGGGTGGATTAGGTATTCTTATGTCTATGAAACCCGCTCAACTTCTACAAATTTGCTTAATAACAACTCGTTCCAACCCTCTCTTCAATGACAAGAGGCTTAACAATATAGTTTCTGCTTTATATTCTAGACGCTCTTTTAGCGGGAGGACTAGGCACCGTCGTGCCATCTCGTCCCCAGCCACTCCTTTACTAAAGCGGCGGTCAACAGAAAACTTCACCGCACAACTTTCATACTCTCGTTCATCGTACAAAGTTATCAAACCATTTACTGGGTCAAACATGACTCGCGGTCTACAGGATTCCGCTCTTTCGCTAGACGCGGTTCTAACCTCAGCCCCTAAGATGGCTACCAGTGTAAACTCTGTAAACTCTACTAGTGGCCCGGCTCCAACATCGCCACGTGCTGCAGATGGCTATCCAGAGAGTACTGGAGAAAGCGGAGCGGCGGACGGGGACACATACTCGAGTTCGATGCCTTCTCCACCATCTCTAAGTGAGACATCTCGAACAAGGTCCACTCGTTCTACCTCGACAACATCGCGAAATTCGAATCGATTATCATTAACTTTGCCGATCGCACCGCCTGACAGTATCCCCTCGAGGCCCACACCTACCTCCTCCGTACCGCCAACTCCAGTTCAGACATCGGTATCAAACCATCCCTCCGACGCTAATGATTTCATTATCGCCATCGCCGCTCAAGAGCGTCGCGTACTAGAACTTCGCGAAGAGCTAGCGCGAGCAGAGCATGATCTCAGAAGACTGAAGAAGCAGTGGACAGCGTCAGATGGTTATAAGAAGCGCGCGTCCGTTAGAAATATTGAACCTCTTCGAACCGCAAGTCTGCTAGATGGACAATGGGGACCTGACGATCCAACAACTATCAGATACACTAGTGAACTGGAGCGTAGGAAAGCTATCCTTCTTGCGCAGAGCAAGGCAGCACCCCGAGACACCAAGAGGACAATTATCCGTGGCGGGCATACTCGTGCTTTATCCCTACTTTCACCTACAATGTCTCCGAACGGAGATGACACGCCCCGATCAGCTGATCTATACTCGAGGATGTCGCCTGTCTCAACTCCTCTTATCAACAAGCGCGCAACTTGGGCTCCCCGTCAAAGCCAACCGACCAACGGTATGAAGCAAATCGCAAGCGATTTTAAGCAAGGCCTCTGGACATTTGTCGAGGATTTAAGGCAAGCAACTGTGGGAGACGAAGCAATTTCCGGGACAACAAACAGGACAAGCGAAATGGTTTCAAGGCTATGTAGAACAGAGAGCGAGCAGGATACTATTCGGGCATCTACATCGAGCCGCGGCAAGATGCCATTCCAAGACGAGTCTGATTCGGCAACGGAGACACCAAGCAGACAATCCACCGGCAGTTTCGGCGACCGTTTACAGCACAGACGTACGACATCGAAGGTAGAGCCTAAAGCGCGAAAACATTACTCCTGGACACCACTCTCATTTGATAGTTTCGATGACGAGGATTGGTCGAACTGGGAGACGCCAAATGTCAAGACAGCCCGCTGGAGCGGTAGCACTGTAAGCGGGGATATCACCGCGATTCCTGAGAAAATTGGCGAAAATGAGGGAACACTGTAAGACAACCATTAATGACACAATCAACACACTGTGCAAGGCACACCATTGACCCGTTTCGGCCCACCCAATACCCGGAGCGCAAAGCGTATCTAACCGCAGCAACAGGATACGCAAGCAATCCAGCAGCGAGTTAAGATCGCCATCCCCAGAGACTCCAAGTAGGCTAGAAGAATTACCACAGGCCATCCTCAACCGACTGACTCCCAGTAACATTAAGAACACGACGTCGAACTTCATCAAGGAATGGGAGAAAAGCTTGTCCCCGCCTGCGGAATCTACTTCTTTCTGAGTTAAACCCCCGAGACCACGGCGGAAACCGAGTTACGAACACACCAATTTCCATTCTTGATATATGCGCGGAAGAAGCATTGCGTAGACGCACGAAGACGCGGATTTCCGAGGCCTGCCTACGGTTTAGGATAAACGAAATATCCCCGACGGAAACTTCGACGCCGCTTTACATTCTTATAGATACCTACCATTACGTTCAGAGCGTTGTGAAGACCGGGGCTCTCAGGCGCGAGATTATTTGTCGATCGAGTTCGGCGGTTGTTGGGTTGAGATTTTGGGAGTACGGATGGATGCATCGATTTTTCGGCCACGATATTATCAAAAATCCTAGCGGCGCTCCGAGGAGTAGTTAACGGGTAAGGAATAGAGGCCCGCGCGCCCATGGCCCGTGGCCCATGGTTTTTTAGGTAATATCTAATGATCACGACCGCTCATGAATGATAGACGACGATGATGTAGAACGAACGAAATAGACTCGTTTGTTATCGTTGTCAATTGTCGTACTTTACAGTATAGTATATGAGCTCTTCTGGACCAGGCTAAGTTCTTGTAAGACGAGACCTAAGCCTCGTGTCTGGTTAAATATAGCGCACATTCTGAAGCGTTCGTGTAAATTAGTGATTGGTTCGTGTGGTAGTAGTGATATTTACCTTGGTGGCATTTACATTCCAGGGTAGGATTCCTGGTAAATCACCCCCGGTATAAAATGTCACTTCTATGAGCCTCATTTTCTATATGGAGTTACCTCCTACACTTGATTCCAAGTATATTGCTTTAGTACCTTATTCCTCATCTATATAAGCAGGCCCATCCAACCCGCTATTCGTAGCCATGTCTACATACCTATTATCACCTTTCTCTTCTACGCATAATTCAGCATACATTCTAGTCATAGATAGCACCCGTTTACTCCCTATTTTATACATCCATTACCATTCGTCACATCGTCACAAGGGTCACATTAGTTTACTCCTAGTTCACCTACTCGCCAACATATATAATAAGTTAGGACTGCATCCATTTCATACTATCGAAATTATTCGATGAGTCGATTCCCGTTGTATCCCGAAAACCTAGCCAGATATATACATTGCCTAGTTTTGAGTCTCTTGGTCATATGCAAGTCCTCCGACGCCTAGCTGATGCAACAAAAAAACAAATACGCCTCCCGTGAATAACGCTACGCCATTTCTATACATGTCTCTATGGAAGAAACAATATATATCAACGCCATTTAAGCTAAAGTTCCAGATGACCAAAGTATATCTACGCCTTCACGGCAGCAGGGGTATCGGGAAATCCGTTCCAGGATTCCTCATCAGCATCTTTGCTCTTGATATCCGATTTGGCGGCTGCTTGAGACGCGGGTAGGCCTGTAGAGACGACAGCTTGTGCTATGTCTGCTGAGCTGTCGTCTCCATTTGTTTCTTGCGACCTTGTGCCTTCTACCTCCTCAGATTTGACATCTCGTGTTGGAGAAGAAGATTTTAGAGTTGGCAGCGTTGGCTTCTTGCTTGCTAATATATCGTTTGAGGTGCTCGTGTTATTAGGCTCCTCGAACCTGACTGGAGATGCAGATCGATCCCGCTTATCATTCTTAGCTACTGGTAAGACCGGCTTAGCTCTTAGAGCTGGCTCGGAGGACTTGCCGCGCGGTTTGTTGTTCCACTGAGATAGCATATCCTTCAATTGAGGAGCCCATACGGATTCTCCCTTTGCCAGGTCTGAATATTCTAAGCAATTGGAGCTACCCAGGACAAAATCCCCTTGCCGACTTCTGCAAAGCTCTGCCATCATTGCCGCAGATCCAATCTTCACTCCCAGATCGTGACAAAAACTCCTGACATAAAAGCCGGAAGTTACAGTCATTCGAATCCTTGCTGCTGGCGGACCTTTGTCCTCCCATGGTGGGGGTGTGTCAGTATCCGAAGTTTCAGGGATCAAATTTGATCCCCTTCCCGGCTTTGGGGTCGCTGGAGGAAGATCACCCAGCGCTCCCGACATCAACGGTGCATGCTGCGAAGTCTTCCGACGCTTGTTAACCCTGTCGTACACAAGCGCGTCAACGTTCTCGTCAGATTTCCGTTTGAAGCTCTCATGCTCATTCAAAGCCTTCGTCTCTTGTTCCTCTTCTTCAGGGCTAAGCTTCTTGGAAGTCATCTGCTGCTTTTCGATCTTCCAGACCTGCTCGGCGAAGTTACGTTCAAATGTGGTGGCTTCCTCAGCAGGCCAGCGATGAGAATGTTGACCGGGTTCATACCATTCGACCAATTCGAGTTCTGTCACTTCCACCTCTCTAGTCGCAATTTCTCGCGGGATAGGCTTACCCTCTCTGGCGTATTCGTAAAGAGGTTTTCCCTCCATCTTTAATGCTGAATAAAGCGGTGGCATCTGTTGGAATTTTCCACGGAAAGAGTTAAGCGCCTCTTCAACCATAGGCTGAGTGATATGGTCGTATGCTGTCTTCTTGAGGATCTTACCGACCCTATCATACGTATCGGTACTGGCACCAAAAATCACTACAGTCTCATATGTTTTGGTACAATCCAAGAAAGACTGGAGAGACTTAGTACCCTTACCCACACCCAGAATCAGAACACCAGTGGCAAGCGGGTCAAGTGTACCACCATGGCCCATTTTGACTCGAATGTCATTCTTACCAAATCCACGTCGCTTCCGTCTGGTATTGGATTCTTGCGACCTGGCTGCCCTCTCTTGATCTATCATTGGCTTGAAAAATGTAGAGGGGTTAAAGTGATGTTGGCAGTCCCTAATAACCTGAGCAGAACTCATACCCATAGGTTTATTGATGCCTATTAGATAAGAGACATAAATGTTAGTGTAAATGTGAATAAGATAGACTATAATTAATAAGATAAATTGAGAATTCATACCGAAGACACCATCAAGGAGAGTGCTGGGAGCTGCCATTCTGGCGAATCTAGCAGCTTTCATTCGCAAGTGATGTGCGTTGAAAAAAAGATAAAACTATCTAATACAGCAAATTCACTCTAGGAACTTGTCAGCCTTTACAGTTTATGGGCTGAGTTCAGGTGAGGCGCAAAATGAAGGTTGTTGAATTTGATTGAAGGATAATGCAAGGGTCTGGAGAACAGAACTTGGGCCAGAAAAAAAAAATTCAAAGAGCTGTTGGAGGATATACATAGCTAATCGACAAGGTTCGATCTAAAGAATAGTGGCTCTTATCGATTAACTAGCTAGTTACTGCAACTAAAACTATCCTGGTACCTAGGTACCTAGGTAGATAACCCCACCATCGGTACTTCCCAACGTCATTGGTCGAGCCTCACTCAACCCACCTGGAACCCGCCTGGATAGCGCCTACGCCAGCTGGTACATAGTAGCTGCACCTGCTGCACCTGCTGCACCAATGTGTCACTGCCTTATTAGTACCTTTTTCAATTAACGGCAAGTACGATACGCGTGCTACTGCCGCCGAAGCGCGTCCCGACTTCCTTAGTAAATCTTAACCTAGTACTTTGTAAATCTTAGAATATTTACGAATTACCGTCAACGTAGATCTTTTCTCTACTTTCATATTCACTTTCTTTTCGTCGAAAACAACAACGGCAACCTCAACTCCCCTTGAGAAGGGAACCCGTATCGGTTTATCAATATGAATTAATGCGCACCGGTATCGCGTTACTTCTCTTTTTACCTAACAATCCCCCAACCTACCGATATACCTAATACAAGATAAATCATTCCTCTTTTACACTATCGTGCACAATCGATTCTATTATTCTGTCCCTTGAGTCGCGAGTCGCAAGTCGCGACTCACCTACCACCATGGATGATCCTTGGGGAAGAAAGCAGTCGGACTCAACAGTCCAAACCGTTGACGAGACTGCCTTGGAATACTATAGAGAAGACTCAGTATTAAAGCCTGTCTCTGCCCGTGTCCACACCGATGACTGGCCCTGTTTTCTACTTACAAATGCCACAATATTCCATAAGGATGGCACCTTGGCGAACCTGCTGCATGTTGATTTGGAAGGTCCGTTGATTGTTCGTGGAAAGCTTGAAATCGAGAAGGATCAAGAAAGATTCCTTATCAATCGCCACATGAAGGACCGTTCACCATATATCCAACTTCAGGACACATTATCCTTCTCAATCGGCCTTAAAGAAGATAGGCCTCCCATGCCGGTGCTGTGGGCTAGTGGCGGAGCAGGTTGGTATGAGATTGTCCCGTCTGATACATATAAGGACATATGCAACACTATGTTTCAGGGCATTTCTCTTCACTATGCAATACTAGATCAGTACGAAGTTGCACTGGAGAAGCTTCGAAAGACAAAGAAGAGCAAGTATAAGACACTTAGTGACGTCAAGTTGAACTTGAACGACGTTCTCGTTAAGGTGTGTGAATATGCAAACTTGGCTCTTTGAATCTGAATCTGACCTGATATGTAGTATGCAGTAAACGTCGGCGATGGTATCACGTTTGCCGAGGCCTTGCAACAGGTCAAGGATCAAGCTATTTTCTTACTTTGTCATTTTCCTAAGAACACTGAATTTTATCGCACTGTGGCGGGAGCACATCCAGTAAGGCTATCTCAAATTAACTCAAATTAACATTTGACTACCATGGTCTAACCCGAGATACAGGATATTGTGCAACAACTTGCCACGAAGGAGACCACGGATGCGAAGTCAGCTACAAGTTCAACACAAAGCGTTCTAGTCGCAGTTCCGTATCGAGATCAAGAGAAGCCTGGTTCTCTCGGAGTCACCAACAGTAAGAAAAGTGGTAGGCCTTCACTGCGAAATTCTGCCTCAAGATCTCTACAAGATAGCGAGGCTATCGAACTTCAAGTGGCTGAGACAATAGAGGCTTCGCGACGTCTATCAGTCGAGCCTACCAAACTCAAACGGGAGCTACCTGTGAATATCATCTCTGAGCCTGCAGATAGTTCTGATCCTGATCTGATTGTGGTTGGTTTCCGCACCAAATATAACCGGCCAAGACAATATCACAACGTGGACGAGCAACTTGATCCGTTTGGAGAACCCATTGCCTCGGAAACCTATACATCTCGCGCATCCTCACATAGAGACGGAAACCCCAGCACAAGTTCCCATTCAGGAATTAGTCCATCCCTATCTGCCATCATTGGAGTCTTGCAAGATTACCGGGAGGACCTACTCTCACACCCAAGTGATAGGACAAAGCACCCCAATGAGGTGACTGCTAGCACCTGGCACAACAAACTTTATCGTGGATTAAGTGTTAAAAAACCTCGTGCTCTGGCCCAGGTCTGCATCTACTACGCCCGGGATCTTTTGCGTTTACTCGGACCAGAGTGGCACTCCACCAAATTGTACACGTGGCTAAAGGAAAACGTTGATGTAGCACCTAGCTTTGAGGACTTGTCTGAAGAGCAGATGAGAAATCTTGTCAGACGCAAGAAGAAAAATCAACTTCCCCAGAACCATCAACCTTATTACGAGGATCAACCTTACGAGGAGGACCCACCTTACGAGGAGGACCCACCTTACGAGGAGGACCCACCTTACGAGGAGGACCAAAATTACGAGGAGGAACAACCTGACGAGGAGGAACAACCTGACGAGGAACAACATTACGCAAATCAATATTCTGTTCCAAACCGACCATCCCGCGCAACTTTATCTCGCGCAACTCCATCTCGCGCAACTCCATCTCGCGCAACTCCATCTTCTTACTCAAGTCATACTTCTTACGCAACTCGTCCTTCTTACTTGAATCAACCTTCCTACGAGCTCCCAGCCGCCATGGAATATCAGGAAGAGGAGGTCCAAGGACAGTCGTCCCACAATAGAGCTCGCACCGGCGGTAAGGTAGCAGGTCTGCGTCCTTCTATTGGCGGTAAGAAACGACCTCTACAAGACTTTGACCTTGGCGACGAAATGGAGCTAGACGAGGACGGACTGCAGAAGAATGCATTTAAGAAGTCACGCTATTCTTTTGCCGACAACGACCACGACGAGGAAGTTGAGGCGACCACTTCATCAGGCAACGAATATAACGCAGAAGATGAGGATGCCATGGCAACTGGTACAGCCGAACATTCAACCAAGCCTCCGAAGCCCAATAGCAATGGTGTGGAGGAAGCATGGGTTTGCGAAGAAGCCGGTTGCGACTTTGTTGTTCACGCCACCAACCACGACGATGCTGAAGCCCTTATCATGCCCCACTATGAGTTGCACCATAAGGATGCTCGAACCAAGAAATACGCATCGAAGAAGAATTATCTTCAGAACATAGTTCGCGAGGAGTCTCTCATAACAGGTGGTCTCCCTGTTGGGTATGTTATTCTTCCTTACTCTTGAATTAGATTTTGTTATTTAACATTGTGCACAGCTTTTTACTTAAGAAGATCGGCCGATATACTGCACAACTTGAGAGCCTCGACGAGGAGGAATGCAAGAAGAAACTAGAGGAAGAACGTCAAAGTCGCTTGTCAAAGCCTCAAGGACAGAAGTCACAACTTGAAGGTCAGGCAGCACAGCTTCAAGGCCAGGAGAAGCAACTTCAAAGCCAGGAGATGATGGAATTGGATGACGAGGCGGTGCCGGAGCCTAAGGAACGCGACACCCTACAATAGGTTCATCCTCTTGCATAAGCATAACGACACAACAGTTCTTTATTTTTTGCGTTTGAGGTTCCTAATTACCGACAATTGGAACCTGGATATGAGACGAGACCTCGACACGAGACGACATTCACATGGGACGGATGATACCCCTTTGCATTTGACATGGTTGCCTGGCGCTGGTGAAATTTGCATTTTCAACTTTCAATAATATGCCCGAGAGGCAATCTGTGTTTTCCTTACAACAACTCATCCGAGAAACATTTTGCGAGTTTTTCCGATACTTCTGCAACGCAATCTCTGAGCCCATGTGGCATTTTGCGTTGATCATGATCTGCCTAAGAGGCACTTTGTGATTTCTAAGATTTCTATGATTCACTGGAAAGCAATTTCCGAATCCGAGAGGGAGACACTATGTGTTTTCAGCAATTTACCTAGGCACTTCGTGAGCCTGACATACGCCTTGTGTTTCTTATGATTCACCCGGAAGGCAATACTTGAGCCTGGGAGAGGCATTTGGTGTGTTTTTCGATTCTCCGGAGACAATCTCTGAGCCCTTGAGGCATTTTGCGTGTGTGTTTTTAATGGCCCGTCAGAGAGATACTTTGCACTTTGCGTTTTTTACGACTTGCCCTCACCTGAGAGGCATCTTGTCTATACCCGTCTCTTGCGTATGATACCTAGGACGAGGTTCACTCCGAGCTCGAGCTTGGCATACGCCTGCACATAGTTGCACATTGTTGATTTTCGAATCGATTCTGCGATGCCCTACTGTACTTAGCTATTTGCAATTGTTTTTCGTTTCTTTTTTGGTGCGATTTGAGTTTAATAATGAATGATTGCAATTGGTACGGACGGAAAAATAAAAAATGAAGCTGGATTTGAGATACTCTCGCTGTCTTCTTAAAATTACGCTGCCCATGATCTTGACACTCTGTGAACTCCGTGATAATGATGATAATCTGGTGATAATTCACATCACATAACTCTCACCAATATTCCTATAAGAACCCTTCGTAGTCCAGCTAAGTTTATTCACGGCCCCCCTTTTCAAGTAGATTCAATCTATTTGCTTGTGGATGCCTCATTATTTGAGGGTATTATGGCTTAACATCCAATCGTAGTAGCAGGTAGTTAGGATAGCCAGTCCACGATCTAGAGTAGTAACATGTCTAAAATCTGTAAGTGGGTATCAAATAGTAGAGATAACTTTACACTCTACTCTACTCTACTCTACCCAACATGCATTCCTCGACTATTAATAAACAGATAAGGAAATGGAAACACTAGGTGGAGGTAAGATGTCTACAATAACTCTAGCCCACTATTACTCTGTACTACACGCAGTAAGCTACTATATACCAAAAATCATTTGGTATGTACCTACTTCAACCTGGCAGGAATGCAGTTTCTCATAGGATGGGTGTTGGGGTGGGTTGATGTGGAAGTAAGGGGTACCATCACAGCGCTTTGAGAAACTAGAAACTAATTGATACGTATTCTTCTTTCCACCGACTCAGCTCCTTTTTGGAAACGCTTATTTTACTCGATGAGGTTCGTTGCTTTATAGGATGGCCATTGCTAATTGTCCTTATGGGTACAACGTTACTATTAGAAGCCCTCTCAAGACAAGCGTTGCAATCAAAAAAGTGCGGAATGCTTGGGCTGCATATGCTAATACTTAATTTATTGATAAATATAATAGTTTTCACTAGCTACATAGCAATGGGGATCATCCATCTCTTGAGCTCCTTACCACTTCCGCCTGCAAAACGTACATAGTAGCCACCTAATGACCCCCTCCGCAGGTTGGTTGAAGGGCTTGCGGCTTGGTACCAGAGACAAAGGCCTCTAAAGTAGTAGACCTTCCCTTTTTTCCGACCAAAAACGCCTTGCGGGAACCGGAAGTGTATTGAAATACGTCAACGTCAAGGTGGGCTGCCGTGTCCTCGAAGACAATAATCCTTACCAAATCAAATGAGCTAATAGAGGGCCGAGGCGAAGGGAGCCAATAGACCAAGTAGCATATGCAATCAATAAGCCAAGTAGCGTCGGGGTTTCGTCCGCCAATTAAACGTCTACTTCACCCGCAAGTCCCCTTTCACGATCATCTCTCATATGACTAATGGTGAAGACTCTTGATAGGAATTGTTGAAATATTTGGTTCTACGATGACTTGGCCCAAGTTTATCGTCGTAGTTGAAGATATACGGCAGCTTTATCCCACGCGCCTCGGTCAGCGGCAGAGACTTCACTCTTAAGCGTCTTGACACCTGCGTGGATCGCGTCGAAGAAGTTGAAAGCTATCTCCAGATCTTCGAAGAAGTGGGTCGCATAAGGGACGAATGTGCCAGGGAACTCTTGCTTCTTTACTGCCTTCTGTTCAGGGGTCTCATTAGGATGAATGTCGTCAAGTAGTGTCTTAACAGCAATGCCAAGAGCAACATCCGTGTCATTCAAAAAGGGTAGTCTATATGAAATTAGCACACAATTCATCATCATCTCACGAATTGCGAAGACAAACCTTTGGCCAATCTCCAGATAGTCGTCACGTTCTCGTTCCGTCTGCGCAAATAGCAGCATAGACGCCACGATCGCTTCGATAAGATCTCTGTCGGCCTCTCGAATAGATGAGCTCAATGATCGGAAGCACAAGAAATTCTTGCTGAGCGGACCAGTATAACCGTTTGCTTGGTGGCGGAGCTTCAACAGGATTGCGCAACGGCTGATTAATAAGAGGCTTGCCTTGTCGTCATCAGTTCCGTTCATAGGCAAGCCGTTTAATTCCGGATGCTGGTTCCGGGTATTAAGTAGGTTAAACCTGAGAAGCTCATAAGCCAAAAGAACCGCTTCGTATAAGCCTGGAACCTGGCTATGCTTCTCAACGGTAGCCTTGAGTGCCTCGAGAGATGTTGCTAAGGCTTGGCCCCAGGATGTAAGTTGGTGAGAATCGTCTACATAGCCACGCAGATGGAGGAAGCGCCAGAGCGTGATCGACGATATCAAATCAGCAGAGGCAATACCTTTGACTTTGTCCTTGGTAATGGTACTCTTGGCGAAATCAGGATTCTTCAGTGCTGCCACTTCAAAAAGAACCGAACCATGCTTGGCATCAGGGTAGTACTTCTTTGCAACAGCGCTACTGAGGTTCCAAGTATGCGCTCTATTCAACGCCTGGTTGTCTTGAGGACGGTACTCGATCTTGTGAGAATACTTCTCATCATACCAGACCTTCACGGCAATCGGCTTATACTGTATACCTCTGTGTAGTCGAGGAAGTAGAAGGCTAAGAGCTGCCTCTCTCAAAGGCATCAACTGGCTCGTCACTAGATGTTTATATTCTTCCGATTTGACTCCGTCTAGAGTTGGATGGATGACGATCTGGCCGTGAGAAATCCAGCTGAGCATGCGTGCTCCGATAAGACCCGTGTTCAGGTAGTGAAATAACTCGGCTGGTAACTGATAGCCGAGATATTCCCAGTTGTCTCGAGTCAGCGTATCGAAGTTGTGGACCTTGATTTCCCCAGACTCTTCAATATAGATAAAATGATCGATACTCATTCTAGCCTTGCGGTACTTCTGTAACCAGTTTGGGTCTCTGCTCTTACTTAGAATGTCGTTAAATGAGTTGCACGCATTCGCGACTGACTTCTCCGAGGTCCGCAGCATGTTAACGGCGTCCTGTACGGATGGTGGTTGGCGGGCAGTAATTTGAGGCTCTTTCAACGGGGGGAACGTGGGGAGAAAAGTTGTTCCCGCCATCAGCAGTGCGTCGATAAATAGAGCTTCGGTTACGCCCAGAGTTCTAATGATACCCTTCTTGGAGATGGCAGTGAATGTGCCGGCATCCCAGTCGATGAATCGAATAACGTGATCCTTGATCGGATAAAGTAATAGTTCCTGGGAGCCCATTATAGCTGAACACTGCTCTGAGTCGATCATGTCAAAGTAGGCCAACTTGAAATTTATCAGCTAGAGGATCTCAAGACCAGAAATGGGTAACTCACTTGCGCGGAGGCGTTGAAAGGGGGGACTAAGAAGTGGAGCCCACGACGCTTGAGGATACCCTGTAATAGTGGAAATAAGTTGTGGACAAGGTAAGCTCCTATGTCATGTAAGCAACATGTTTAAGCTGCGGCATAGTTATGACGACCGTACCTCGATGGGAGCCAAAGGCAGTCACGGCTTCATTAGCCTGGCTTTGGAAATAGAGACCCCAAGCCTCATCAGTGCCTACAATCGCTCTCTTTCCCCTCTGGACAGAAACTCCATCTTCGCCTTCGATGGACTGGCCATTGAAGATGAAGAAGGGGGTGGTTTTGTTGGATTTCCAGCTGTCAAGATCATGTTCGATGTGAGATTGAATACCGGTCAAGCCGCCGAGGGCAGGGAGAAGCGGTTCGTGGTAAGGAACGTTATCGAGGAACAGTTGCAAGTAGTAGGAGGCATCGACCGCAATGGCACAGTCTTCAAGCTGGGAGACTTCGGCAGACCTACGAGGTTATTAGTCTCATAATATTACTATAGTGGTGGATGTTACTTACGCCACTTGCTCGTTGATCCAATGATCCTCAAAAGTGCCTATAAGGCCAATTAGCAACGGACCTACCTAAAGTAGTAGGTAGCCATATGGTAAATGAAGAAAAGCATCATGGTCTTTCTATGAAGTACCATTTAGAGTTCCATGCTTCCTCGCCAATGTCTTCCACCATTCGTTTTCTTTAGGCTTAGGGCTACGAAATGAGCTACAACTAATAGTCACAAGCAGCCCTTCTCGGCGAAGCCATTCAATGGCCCGATTCAAATCAGCCTCGGCAAACGGGACTGGAATGTCAAACTCGTCTAATTCGAGCATAGTAGTTGTGTTTGCGTAGTTACGTAGCTAGGCAATCGAATACGCAAATTCGTAAAGTCGGATATAACAACAGCGACAAGCCGTATAAGCCACAGCGATATTCAAGGCCGTAGAGTGGTATGCGAACGTGTGCGAAGAGGTGCGAAAGAGAAATATGCAACAGAAACGGTACCCAAAGCAGGAACACGATATCTCATCGGGGCGTAGAAGAGAAATAGCAGATAAAACTTACTAGGCATCTTGAATTATACTTTGTACAAGATCAAGCAGTTCTTGCCTGGTGTAAGGGATCTAGGATCTGGGATCTTGGGTATTGTCGGGTTACTATGACGAACGTCGAAGTGAGGAAATCAGAGCTCGCGGCTCAAGATCGCAGGCTAGAAAGAGGACAGGTGGGGGCTGACAGGTATTAAAAGGAGTGACTGAGTTTAACATAAATAGAAGAAGGAACTAAGTAGGGGCGGGAAGAGAGTGAGAGAGAGGCGGGAGGCGGTTCGATGGTAAGGCAAGATGCACCTTGTTCCTACGGCTGCAGCTGCTGTTGGAGAACCTTACCGATGGTGAGGTTCGAACTTCGAAGGTAAGGCACGATCCGAAGGTCAAAGCCTCACGGCAGGTATGTAGGTAGGACAAGGGTTGTGCGACTAGCCTGGTAGAAGGTAGCGACATACGCTATTGTATGGGACCCCTGAGCTGCCTAGAGCTTAAAAAGATAGATTATGTAATATTTAGAATGTATCTGCCTCATAATTAGGTACATTGATCTCCCTGTGACGATTTCGTACCTGTACCTTGGTACGTGCAGAGTTGGAACGGGTTATCTTATCTATCAGCTTATCGTTAAAGAGCCTTGCCAATCCGTGTATTGTACCTCGGACGATATACCAGTGTCAACCTAGAACCGAGTACCTAAGCTCCTTGGAAGAAACCATCGAATAGACGTTTGGCTCGTGAGACAAGTCACATGTAGGACTATTTATATGTCCTGCTTGGAGCTTTTGATAAGAAATACCTTCTTTTTAATTCTTGACTAATTGAACTACTGGGTATCATCCTTTCTCCTTCCGCTGTAATCCACGATTCTACGATAAATTAGGTACATAGCACTTATATCCATTCCCATCATGGCCAAAGCCGCAACACTTCCCGTCATCGACATCTCAGCCCAAGGCGCGGACCAAGCCCAAGTTGCCAAGGAGCTGGTGGATGCCGCAATTGACTATGGCTTCGTCTATATTAAGTGTCAAGATATCTCAGCTGAGCAAATAGATAATGCTTTCAACGTGGTAGGTACCTAGTCGATGTTTTTAGTCTCGGGAAGAAGTCGCTATGAATAGACTATAGTGATGGACTATCTCACATATATAGGTAGTCGCGCATCTTATTCGATTCGCCTCTTGAGGACAAGCAGAGATGCAAGATCGAGAAAAATAACCAGGGGTGGTCCGGCATGCATACCGAGACCTTGGACCCCAAAACTCAAAGAGTAAGCCGTATCGTATCGTCTGACCTGGCTACGACTGGCTTACCGAAACTAACACCTGATCTCTAGGTAGGAGACTTTAAAGAGTTCGTATGCATACACAGTAGGGGAACATCGAGGCTGACCTGAACCACTAACTAAGGGGCTTCAACTTCGGCCCCTTTGCAAACAGCAAGGCCACACAACCCATCCCGCGGAGCATCGAGCCGCACCAAGCAGAGCTCGCCGCTTTCCGGGCTGCGTGTCACGAGCTGTGCCGGAAGCTGCTCCTACTCTTCGGCATCGGACTAGGAGTAAGAAGCGAACCCCTTACTCCGTCCGGGCCATCCTTTCTAATCAACCTACCTAGGTTAATCCCCCGGAGTTCTTCTCCGCCGCGCACAATCCCGTCCTGTCGTCGGGCTCTATCCTGCGGTTCTTATACTACCCACCGCCCAGCAGAACACCCGAGGCTCACCCCGACGACGTGCGCGCCGGTGCGCACTCGGACTACGGGTCTATCACCCTTCTGTTCAGACTGCGCGGCCAAGCCGGTCTCGAGATCCTCGAGCCTCGCACCGGTCGCTGGGCCCCTGTCCCCGTCGATCCGCCTAGTAGTAGCGAGGACGAGGGCGCCGCCGCGCCACCGCCTATTCTCGTCAATATCGGCGATCTGCTCTCGTATTGGACTAACGGGCTGCTTCGGAGTACTGGTATGTAGTATCGGGATTTCTTCGCTAATCATCACCCCATCTTAGAAATTAGTATTTCCTCGTCGAGCCAGATAGGGAGTTACGACTCTCGAGATATCATAAATGTCTTATTAAGAGTAGTAATCACTAACACTCGTCACCAGTCCACCGCGTCGCCTTCCCTTCAGCACCCGAGGCCCTAGCGGCCGGCGAGTCTACCGCCGACCCGCGGTACTCAGTTGTCTACTTCTGCCACCCGGCCAATGACACGCTGCTGACGCCCGTTCCGAGCGAGCGCGTCAAGGCAGCCAGCGAAAACGAGAATGATACTGCCCGGAACCAGGGCTTAAACAGTGCTAGTAAGAAAGTTCTAACGGCGAACGAACACTTACAGATGCGACTACAGGCAACGTATTTGCAGATGTACGGCAAGGATGGAGGGAAAAAGTGACGAGGAAAGTAAGTGAATAGTGCCGGAGGAGAGCCTAGGCGAGTTACTATCTACGTAAAGAGCATCTATGCATGGGGCAAGGTTTTAAAGACCTAGTTTCCGTCTCTCCCGGTTCGGAGTCGCGTTTCCCCGTAGCCTTAGAGATCAAGAGTGGTCAGAAGGCTATCATCAGCGTCTCGATCTGGCAGCAAGACATTGCTTGGGTACTATACGACTTATATTTTGAGCTACTCCCGAGATAGCAGGGTGGTTTATGAATAAGTTAGCTACCTAGCTACCCAGTCTTCTACGCGAATATCATGCCTCCGCTACCTACATATATCTACGACTTATTTTCTCTCCTGCCGAGTAATCATTTCTGTCCGTAGACAACCTAATATGTACCTACCCAAAGTAATCCATACATGCTACGCCCAAGAACAAACCCCTTCCAAGCACGTACGCCCCTTCTTCCCAATTATACGGCAATCGGATAATATACTCGCATTCGACGTACCCTCCTAGCCCCTCCTATCCAGGCCTACAGGGCCCTACTCATCCGTCCATCCATCCATAATACCTTGCAGTCCCCTCTCCTCAGGGAGCCATAAGGGTTCTCGGGGGCCTTCACGTGTCCTATGCAGTCGGCTATATCCTGCATGCGTTCGAGGGTACACAACATAGCGACGTAGGAGCGGTAGGGGAACAAGGGAAGAGAAAAGGCGAGAATTGGCCCGCTGCAATGGTGTTCGAGGAACCGGCCATGGGGACTAGGGGGCCTGGGGTTTGGATGTAGAGGACGTGAAATATTTATGGTTGCTGGAGATTAGTACATGTAACAGTGTTCTGCTGTTCCTTTGGAATGAATAACCAGCAAGCGTATCCCCTAAGCCAACACTTCCTAGGTGCATCATTACATTGTATATCACCGGCATACAGGCACCAGAGACAACAACGGTGCTTCGCGAAATGTCAACGCAGTAAATTCAATGAGCTGAGCTATTCTGACTCCGGCCCTCCCTATCCCGGCCAGCTTGGGTATTTCTAATGCCCGCGTCCAAAACCACATGAACCGCTAAACTCCTACCAAGTCTTATTCGGTAAAACTCTGTAAAGCAACTAGCCGGATATACACTTCATTTTGAACCTCTTCGAAACCATCCCACGCGCGCGAAGCTTGTAAATTTCCCAATTCCTAATTTGCGGATATGGTAAACCTTTTTTGTAACTGGCCCCTCGTCTTTTAAAGAACCCCTCTCGTCCTATAACCCGCTCAAGAAAACAACCTCGCCAATCATCCAGGTCGCTTCAGGCGTTCCGGGACCTAGCGGGAAGGAGGAAAAACTTTTGTGACCCAACGCCGATTAATATATAAAAGATAGATATATGGCCGTACGACGCTCTAATCGCCATAGCGTTCCCAGTAACCAATGCACTAGCGATGACCGGACGCCTCTGCCAGTTTTCAAAATGCAATATCCTATTAAATCTTGATAGCCGAATATGCTTTCCAGTCGTATAACCGTCGTCGTGCTGTCTGTTTGTGCCGGGCCGGTGGCCTGTCTAGAGTAGCCGAGCCCATGCAAATGCTGTAGAAGAACAATGCATAGTTAAGGAGGTTAAATAGCAACTTCGAGTTTTAAGTCATGTCCTCTGGGATAATTTCCGAGTCTGTCGATTATATCATGTTCTCCCCGCTTTCTCGTTCGCTGAGATCACGGCGCGCGTAGCAACCTGTTAGGTACTTATGCCAGCCATGACTCTTCGTCTCTCTTAAGACCTCTCTGTAATATTTGCCGTTAGCCTTCATTTTAAAAATAATAGGAGCAGTCTCGTCTCGGGAATTGAACACGTCCCCGCCCCAAAGTAGGTTGAAACAGCAAGTGTCGCTTACCATTATTAAGCCTTCATCTAAAGATTCGTCATCACCCTCACCATCTTCGTCGTCCCCATTATCAACTACCTCTTCGGTTTCCTCTCTTGAGCCATTAAATGCAGGGACCTCGCCACCGTCAAACATCCAAGTCATCCCGTTTGCCTCTTCTTCCAGTGGGAAAATTTCGCGAGCATATTCTTCGAGTCCCCTTGGCCCTTCCCATAATGCTAAGGCATCTTCGGGGCATCTTCTATCGAGTTCCAGGTCTCCAAAATACGGCGGCTGCTTCTTAGGGTCGGTATTATTTGACGAGAAAAGTTTCTCCAGCGCCTCAAGCTGTTCTCGATAACCTTCCGGAATCTTCACTTTTACTTCTATGGGCCCGTGTTTATAGCGGACGCGCCTGCCTACCCCTCGCTCGAACGCTTTACAGGCTTCTACGGGCGTTAGATACTCGTAAGCTAATGCTATGCGCTTCCCATTCCATTTTTCTGGACCGTCTTTAAAGAGCTGAATAATAGCTGGCCCAACGTCATGCTCGGCATCCAACCAGGGAAGCTTCGCGTGCGGGTGGAAGGGGGCTTGCCATACAAACGAACCGTCCTGTTGTAGTTCCATGCAGAATAGCGGGTAGGGGAGCGACGTAAAATTGTTGTTATAGATTCCGGTATAGACAAATGTAGCTGGTAACCCTATTTTGCGAACATATTTCTCTACCTCATGCTTGGCTGCCCAGAGGGGTAGCGAGGGCCATTCTGGATTATAGGCTGCATGATCAGGCATGGATGAATATACGTAATGCTGGACACCGGCCTTTTTCGCTGCGTCTGCAATGGCTTCTCCTATATGTATTTCATTACCGTAAAACGTCGTGTTGATGAAAGCTAGCTGTGCGCCGTTGAAGAGCCCCGAGATTAGATCGTGATTGACCAGAATTCCTGGGAGGTTCCCGTGGGCAGTGACGTCCCTTTTGTCGTCGGGCTTATTTCTAACATAGAGCTCCCCGGTAAAAACTGTGACATTCGGGTTCATCGATACTTCGCTGGCTATTACACCTTCTAAGTTGCGGAGTTGTGCGTGTACCCTATAACCTACAGCAGTAGCTATCCGAATTAAAGAGGCGGCTTGGCGACCACTTGCATTTATAACAGCAATGGTCTTGTCTGGCGACGGCGTTGACCGTTTTAGAGGGCGGTATGTCAACGAATTATTTCTGGACATGGCAGTAAGAGGTGAGCTCTCCGAATAAGAAGACCGCGTATGCTTGTGTCTTGTACTGTGCGCCACCGAGGACTTGGGAGAGGAAGCATTGCCATTCTCGCTGGGTATTGGTCGAAAAACCAGGTCAGTCCGAATAGGAATGGGGTGGGAGGAAGGCATGGCGACGTAGATCCAGTTCCCACTCGGGGGTCTCGACACTCGAGCTTTTGTGTAACACAAAATAGCTAGGTTGCCAATATCGTGAATCGTGAAAAAATTAGAGGCGAGCTCGGACAGCTATGTAGATGGACGCGTGACGTCCCGATGATGCAAGAGGCGAAAAGACCAAGCCGAAGCGGCAACTATAGAAGAAGAAAAGGAGCCGGTACGCCCATTGAAGAAAACTGTAAAGAGAAGCTGTTGGTAGAATGGGCTTGTGGTGTGGGTTGACTTTGAAAGGTAAGGTAGGTAAGGGGCCAATGGGGCCGAGCTTATTTCTAGGGTTGACGATAAGTCTTGCTTCAGGTGGAGGTAGACAAGGTAAAGCAAGGTAAGGAAAAATAGCGTGGAACCAAAGAAAAAAAAAGCTCAGGTGACTATAGGAAAGTGGAAGTAACTAGAAAAAAAAGGCAAGTAACTCAAAAAATCAAAGTAGGTATAGATGTAGGTTAGGTTAGGTAGGCAAGTAAGTTAGGCAAGAGGTAGGCACAAGTTTTAATTTTGCCGGCGGTTGGGTCGCCGTTGACCGTGGTCGTGGTAGGTTCCAGTCTTTGTGAGCCTGTGAGCCAGGCACGCAATATCCCTTAGTCGAGTATCTGAAAGTCTGAAAAGTGGATATATACTACGGATGGGAATTTTTGACTATCTGCAAAGTCCCGATTGAGGACCTTGACGGAAGTACCCTTCGGGCGAGTTAGTACCTAACTTCCGGGGACCAGCGCGAAACACTTGTTCTTAGATATTTAAAGGTGGAAAGGAAGATGGGTTTCGCTTGGTGATTCCAACATACCTTGGATACTATAGCTTTGCGATAAGCTAGAGAGGTATATGTGTGATAACAAGGTAGGCCCGGTAGATCGATCAAATGTTGTTTAGGAGGAATCCTAATTACATATGAGGTAGGTTAGGGAGACGGAGGGTTGAAGTACATATGCAGACATACATGCCTTACATGTATGCACATACCTAATATCAAGAAGGCATAGTATTATTTATGTAGATACTAGTAGATACCTATGTTAGGAAAGGACATGGAGGGTATGACGAGATGCGGACTATTAAAGATACATATAGGTATGGGCATGGGCTTGGATAGGTAGTAGGTAGGTTGAGGGGGGCTCTTGTGAAATCCGGGGAACCGCCACCAGTTATTTGATCTAATCGACTAGTTAACTACCTAGTTAATCGACCCTAACCGGAGCGAGGTTTGCATACGTATGTACGTGCTAACGAATAGTATGAAGTACTAGTATGAAGCACCAGGCGAGCGCACAAAGCCAAAAACAAAAAAAAAAAGAATTAAGAAACTTTATCTCCTTACGTTGATAGATGACGTTCGAAATCTCTTATCTTAACTTTACCTATAACACAGACGCGTGTATAAGGTATGTATCAAGATACGCAGAGACCCATCTAATGTATGTAAGATTGATTAAAGGTGAGACTGACAAGGAGAGGCTGACGGCAAATGCGAAATTGTACATACATACAATCTATCATGTAACTAGTCGCACAAAATAATCCAATAAGAATACGCTAGGCTGGATCGTGGGACGGCGAGATAGAAGTCTAATACAGCACGAGTTAGCTTATTAGTAATGGAAGTCGGAAAGCGGCTCAGACTAAAGTAGGTCAGGATAAGAAAGGTGACTGGTCGTTTAGATGTAAGGGAAGAAGATACATGAATGCGTATTAGGTACGAAGTATGCTGCTTGATATAAATGTACATAGGTACCTGTACCTTATCTACATAAAGTCCGGCAGGTGGGCATAAGAATAGGTAGGTAGGTAAGTATCAGAAGTGTGTAAATGCTACGATCAAGAGCGGTGAATGCGTTCGTATAAGTCAAACGTGTCTATGTAATGGTAGAGTTAAGTGTTATCGTATACCGCATAACATACCGAATAAGGCTTCCGAATTTTCATCAATCAAAAAGTCGTCAGGTTTTCTCTTATCGCTTTTCCCGGGTTTTAACTCGCCGATCCGATACGTGATTGATCGCATGCGGTATCAATGGTAATACTCGAATTAGGAGGGTGGCCGCACTTGATTGGTCTGATCGATCATGCGGTCTGATTACCTATTGGAATACAACGAGATCGGAGCCTGACCGAACATCATATGTATTCCAGGTATGTACATCTTCCAGGTACTTACCCGACTATGGGCGCGTAAGTACCTAACCTAATATTCCTAATAACTATTCCTAATGTTACTTAAGGAATGGAGACAACTTGGTGAGGTTAGCTAATGGGAATTGCTAGGTCCATTTATATGACAGCTGTTAATCACGTTTTCGGGCTTCGTCTCTTAAAGAGTTTTTGACCTGGCCCAGTATTCTCCCGGGTTTGGATACCTAGTGGCAGTGGTAAGTAACAAGCCGGTTCGGTTTCATGACGGCACAGCTTATCAGAGCGAAAGGGGGAAAAAAAAAAAGAAAAGAAAAATTTTCTCTGGTTCGTTCTTTTCTGACCTTGTTGAACTGGGAGCAAACTGGATACCGGCATGATTAAGATTATGTAAAATGATGGAGTACCGTTGGTCGGTTACGGGATAATGCGTCTAAGGATATATCGACTTACATAACAGCCTCTCAATAAATCCCCTAAAAGTCTAGCCTTAGGTACCTCTACCTCTACCTAACCCACCTAACCCACCTAACTTTCTACACTACCTGCTAATGCCCATTGTCCAATACCTAAACCCCTTTAATCATCATTTACATGTTCTACGCGTAAGACTAGGTATTGCCCCAGGTAAGATACCTACACTAATTAACGGAAATATCAAGAGCCGGTATTGTGTATCCATATAATCATAAAGACGAACAGGGCCTTGAAGATGCTTGCCCCCTAATCGGACCTATGCCAGCTTCCACATGCCACATAGGGAGAAAGAGCATTAGGTAGGTAGTCTTGTATCCAGCCTGACCTGACTGTTGCGCACACCATCATCTGTCCGACGGGTTTTATCTGATTAGAGGGTATGGACCTAAGGAGGCTGATAGGCAGGTTAATCCCCCCCCCTTTCGCCCGTGGCGCTGCGGAGAGCATCAAAACCACATGGTTGACAGGTCCGGTCCGCAAAGGTGTATTGCATTGCGACGGCACGAGGGGAAGGGAGGAGTGGGAAATTATACGCCATACGCCATAGATAATATTATTGCGCTCTCTACATACTTCAGATACATACCTAACCTTCGGTGGTCAAGCAGCCGCAGGATGATAATCGAGGGGTACAGATTTCCCTCTTCCCCCCCAAAAGGATCGACAGATAACCGCTGGCCAATAAGACGGCTGTCTCCCGGTAACGAGATAGGCGCGAATCCTATATGTAATGTCGTAACGGCCAAGTCCTATCTTGCTGTCAGGTAACCTTAAGGAGACAACCATCTGTGCGCCACGGGGTTGCGAAGAGAAAAAAAAAAACCACCAAAAAAAAAAGGAAGCCAAGGCAAGGTCCTGGGGAATTTCTAAGAACCCCCCGTGTTACCGCAGCACGAGAATCTGATAAGAAAAAAAGAGAGGCCATCTGATATGTATGTAGTAGGTCAGAGTCGGTCGGTCAGGTCCGCTGCCGCACTGGATTGATAGCATAGCATAGCATAGCGCAGCAAATCGCAAACGCACGTGAACGCTGCCGCCGCAACAAATTCCCGGATCACCGTTGGAGGATATCATCTTGCATGCCATTGCAGTGAACCCTATGCATTACCTACTTACCTACCTAGGTACATAGACGAGACGGGAGAGCGCCCTCTTGATAATACATACATAGTAGGTAGCTGGCTAGGGCTATTTTCCTACATACATACATGCATGCACGCACACACGCATTTCTATTACATAGTTTCACGAATATCCATTGCCAACTATAGCCTGCCTCCGTCTCCATGGGCGCTGATATAGCGAAACCATTGGCTTGGTTTAGGTAGGTACTCCCGAAGGGTCAAGTACATACAATACAATATCCATCCCCTTCGCTTCGTCTGCGTCCCCTACACTAGTCCAGGGAATCTGGGGCCATAAAAAAATGAATAAAATAAGGGAAAGGTAGAGAGAGACTAGACCGGTCCACGCGGTGAAACCAATTGTCAAAAGAGATGCTTTCGCATTGACGATGGGGCCCTCTTAAGCCCCTTCGAGCCTGTCGACCCGACCCGTCGCTAACTAAAAAGCCTTGATAGTCAGGTTTAAGGCCTACCCAGGCCGTCCACTATCCAGGCGAACTCGCGGGATCAAAACCGATGCAAGCGAGGGGGGGTTTGGTCGTTATACCAGAGTGGAATCTAATGGCGACGATATCTTGGCATTAGGTATATTTTAGTAAATAAAAAGGCATGGGTCGTATTGATGCAAATCGAGCACGTTCTCAAAGCCCCTGGCAGCTTTTTTTTTTTTTTTTTTTTTTTTTTTTCTCTCTCCCCTTGTAAACGTGGAATTTCGTCCAAGCTGCGGAACCGTCTCCTTTACAAAATAGTAGTCGCGTCGGATGTTGCGTGCTATTACGTACAAAACAGCCAAGCGAACATCCTTCTTGGAGGCTCAACCACTACGTTGCCCATCATCACCTCCAGCGAAGGTCCTTCTAGCGCCAAGGATGCCCCCTCTCTCAGGCCGAACGAAGCATTTCCGCGGGGCCCGGGCACACCCTTTTTCCTCTCGGGTTCTTTCTATTGTCTTATGAGGCTGTTGTTCGCTCCTTTTGACAACTTTCTTTGGGGCCCGGGCAGAATTTATGAACCAACACTAAATAGGGCGTATATATAAGCCAAAGCCCCCTCGAAAACTATCAAGATAACTTCCAGGGCTAACCAATAAGGGGCTTATGCGGGGTTGAAAATAATATCTACCCCGCGGATAGGTAGATCGTGCGTGCTTCTTTGAACTTCTCCACACCCTCCTAGGTCAGCCTAGGATTTCTCACTTTGGAAAAGCTAGGATGCTACGAATCTGTAACCTTGAAAGCTTGATACCTTATCAAAGACGGATCGGACGATTCCGCTGGCTTTTTACCCCTGAATCCAGACGGCTATCACGGCTGTGGATTCCCAGATCCCCAGGTTCCCACGGCATTCAAGATGTGAGTTGGTGATAGAAGACGTGGTTTTGCATTCGCGGCACATTGCAAAGGTGATCAAAATACTGCTTGGAGGGGGAACATGTTGTGTACTATGTCAAGTTCTCAATCTCCGACCCTACCTGCTGAGGAATTACGATAGGTGGAAGTTCCATGCGCTTGGAGCTAACAAGTCGGGAAAGTCCTGTGTCATCTGTATTGCGGGATTGACGTGTCCGTTATCACGCGCCATGGGATCAAAGTAGCGCTATATTGCGCGGGTTCATTAGCAATTTCGCCACGGCCTGGAAGAGAACAACTCGTCAGATACGACTTACCCAGTCATAGCCATTCTGCATCATCCAAGGAGAGTTCGATATGTCATCCGCGCCCGTTGTATTTATCGTGGCGGCGCCGAAATCAGCAAAATTCTCAACTCCAGGCTCATTGCTGCTGGATATTGTCGGGGGATCGCCACTGCTAATCGACAAATCCGCCATCTCCGCCATCTCGGTATTCTCGTTCCTAAATGAATCCGGCGGTGTGTTAGGGAAATGTGAAGTATCGATCTGAAGTTTTGCCTGAATTCTTTGGAGTATAGTCCGAACGACCTCTTCAGCCTTCTTGAATTCCCTTGCGTCACCTGACATATCGCACCAGACGTTGTAAGATCTCCTAAGCAGATACAAGAGTTTGTCTTTGGTGAATGGCGGCGAGCTTCGGGCTATCCAGCTGGGACTGCTGCCCTCCTCCCAGTATTTATCATTCTGAATCATGAGGGCGAGGACCATACCGGCCAAGAGGAAGTCATTAACAGCCACTAATGCTGCAACGAACCAGCCTGTCTGGCGCAGCATACCACCCGGTTTAGTAGCTTCGTGCATAGTATTCTGAAGGTCTAGTAATGCCAACGCCGCCTCAAAACATATTCGGCGAGAGTAGTCATGCTCCTCTTTTGGTACGGGTTCGGCAAGATACCGTCGATGAAGGACGCATCGACTTTTTTGATATATTGCCGCGATACCAAATCGCTGAATAATCCGGACGGGTTCTTCCATAACACACTCTTCTATCGGCTTCATTTTCATAAGTGAAGGTATACTGTTCCATGTTTCTTCGATCTGCGAATCCAGCTGCATGACCTCGGCATACGTTGGGACTTTGAGAGCATGTGCTTGCCGAACAACCAAGAAAAACACACGCATTATCCTCGCTTTGTTGATCGGGTAGGTGAGCGACGTATATTCCGTATCAGGGCGGGCTGGGGGCAGCTCCTTGGTGTCCTTGTCAAAATCGGTATCCATTAGATGTGACGGCAGCTCCGTATCAGTCTCGATTCCGTGGACCATACTAGGTAGACCTAGATTGAATGCGACCAGCAATTCGACTTGAATGGCGATATTCCATAGACGCCGCCGCATCTCGCCATCATACGGTGTGATATTAGGTAGTTTGCTAGGATCGCGATGGAGACCCATCTTCAACATAAGTCGGATCAAGACGGACGAAAGCAGGTAACAATTCATACGATGATCGCGATTCGTCATGAAATCCCCTTCAACATATAATAGGAATGCTTGAAGCGTATAAAAGTTCGGTTGAGAGTACTTCCCCCAGATCAGAGCCCACCCAGCGGCACCCCTGTACTGTTTGAACCTGTCCATGGCTGGCATGAGGGAATCGCTCACGAGCTCATGCGGCGCGGCAAACGAAGAGAAGAACACGCCGAGTGCCAACACCATGTAGAGCATAGCTATCCAGTTCAAAGGTGCTCCGTCAGGATCTTTACAGAATTCGTTATATTCTCCCAGGAATGTAGGGACGTGAATAATGTCTGTAAAAAGTGAGTAATGAATCATAATGGAAAATAAGTCCATTCGAGATAAACGGGTATTCTTTAGGAGAACTCACGTTGAGAAGGACTGTTAGAGTTGAAGTAGCGATTTATCAGACGGTCAATGACAGCTTTCTCTGGCAAGAGGGCCAGTAGCTCCGACTTATCCCTAGGAACACCCCGTGAAAACATCAACAGTTCATTTGGCCCTGTATTCTCATACGGGTCATAGATCTCGTCGCCATCATCGAGTGGGTCTTCGAAGTAGTTTTTAAGATCCTCGATCTAATACGTGGACTCGGTCACTAACGTGTCGCTGTGGGTGATTCAAAGAAGGGATGCACTCACGTCCTCTAAAATAGCCATAAAATGTGTACCGCCGACATAATTTGTAGCTTTTTCACCTTGAACGAGGAGCCCACCGGCACTCGGTTCCTGTCCCGCCTTCCTATCGGTAGGAACTATTGGCATAGAACCCTCCGTGTCGATCATATCGCGAACCACTATAGCAACGTCTTAGTGACATTTTACTTTTTTTTTCTTTGGTTGAGCTATCTCGGATATAGTACTCTCGGGATATAAAAGAGGTAGTATATTAAATTTATAAGAGGGACGGAAAGGAGCGGGACGGCCGGGCGTGTGTAACCTCGGGATATATATATAGGAGGTAGGTAGGTATATACGTACTCCCTTCGAGTCTCTTCAAACGTGCAGCCATGCTCTTTGCTGGTTTCTGCTTCTCAGGTCTCGGAGCATAAAGGCAGCCTTCCAGCTTACCCTTTCTAATGCATTGGCCACACGGCGTTGTGCGGTCGCACTTGAGTTTAGAAATGCGGCAAGGCGCACAGCTAAGGAGAACTCGCGTTCGCTTTGCATGACCATTACCATTTGCTCCGATACCACCCCCCGCTGCCGACGACGACGACGCGGGGTCATCGCCGCTTGTTCCGCTGAAAGCACCGGCTTGCATATTGTATTTTTGTTCTATCGGTACGGAGTCCTACTAACGTATGATTATTCGTACGTAAGATGCTGGGGGAAAAAAGAATTAAGTTAAACCCGAGGAATCCCGAAGTTGATTTTGATACTATGTACCTGCGAGGCACCGAGAAAATTAGCTGGCAGAGCTAAGTTCGCATTTCAGGGCGACGGGTGGTCTCCGGACGATTACGTGAACCTGGTTAGATGAAACGAATCATAGCGCTCTCTGGTCCATGGTATTTTGCTGAGCCGCAGTCGTAGTGCGCGGCATTCTAGGCACGTGCGATGACCAATCAATCGAAGTGAAATACAAGAATGTTGGATATCTATACTATTCGTTTACTCTCTCCTTGAAAAATGGAAATATTGAAAAGGGGGGAAACGTAAAAAGATAATGTACCTAACAGGTTGATAGATTTTATAGCTTATACTTATAGTTATGCATAGCAGATACCTACATAGATTAAGGTCTAACCTAGGGGTTATGATTACCTAGGGATATGTCAGCAACTGGATAGGATTCCTATAGGATTTACATTTGCGGCGTCTCTTATCAAGTAAGTGTCACACAGCTTGCGATTAGAATATAGGTAACTACTTGATTGATATCTATACTACGAAGTATACTATTTTTGAAGAATGTCACTACCATAACCCATTTCACTAGACGTTGGCAGCCCTATTGTTCTTCCTTGTGGTATCACATATTAATGTTAACGTCAAATAGATCCCCTTTAGGGCCCAAATAAGCTATGGCACCAACAAAAATACAGATAGATATTCGAGAAACAATATCATTTTCCTGTTGCCTACAATCCTAGCATCCCAACATTAATCGTCTCTTTTCCTTCTTCTCATAACCAGCCTTGTAGTATTTTAACGAATGGTCCTGCCAGTAAACCCAAATATCCGAATCGAAGTAGAAACCCCTCTGGGAGGCAAACAAGGTAATATACACAAGTTAGACCAGCTTTTGATTACTTTGCAGTATTGTTTTAGGTAGTTAAGTGACGAAATATATTTTCACCACCGAATCCTGGTGGCTTGTGTTCGCGGGTCCCGCATGCCGGGGATCAGTCCTCGTGTGCCACATTGAATCGTTGCAACACGTTCACGAAGATCGAACTCGACAGCTCGTACCATAACACGCCTTTCCTCCGGTATAACCCTCCTCCCATGCGGTGATAGTAGTACACTCTCCCTTCGACCTGCCCAGCGAGCATTACCGCCGGGACCGAGGGGAATATCGTTTCCAAAGCTAGGAGATCTGGCAGTTAGGGCGCTGGGGCTTCCCGTAGAAAGTCTGCTCATATCGGTTGAGCTCGACGTAGGGCGTCCGAAATCATCGGCGCCATCATCGCCCTCTTCTATTTCCATAATCCACATACCTATACGAGCCGCTAGCTCGCTATCCCACATTCCTTCTCTTCGCGAGCTAGTGCGCAACAATTGTATAGCTTGACGCCGGGTCACAGAATCTCGACATTTCGTGGCAACGACAAAAAGAGGAGGGACGATGCCTAGATCTGCGCTAAAGCTCGGCTTAATATGCCGAGCTGTGTACTGTCCACCAAAGGCGTCTGGATGAGTCGGTTGGTGATGACAAAATTCCGGATTTGGACATCGCTTCGCAGCAGCCCTGCGCTCTTCATCTCCGACAACCTCCACGGCTAGGTTAACAATGTCCTTAAATTGCGGTAGGTATGTATCGAATTGAAGCTCTGTATCACTAAACGTCATATAAAATAGAATCTCGCCCATGATCTGATTCATCTTCAAAACAGCGATTGCGGTTTTCTCTTGGCTGCTCTTCGCAGGTATTATACGAGATGATAGTATAGGATCGAAAGCCCTAGACCAGGCGGATATTCTATCGGCGAAACCCGTACCATACTGTCTTAAAGAATTTGGAAGCACGCCCATGGGACTCATCGCCGTCGTAAATGTGAACATATTTTCCGTAAATCTCATCATCTGTTCGCACAAATTATCCCATGCCACTCTCGCTTCGAGTAACGATTGAAATATGTCTGGAGTCTGTGGTTGGGCCGTTAACGCCGGTGAACCCCCATCGGAGAGGGGGGACATAGGGTGTTCGGTATGCTCTGGAGTAAGGCGTATAACGAACGGTTGGGGGAAATGGAAAGCCATGTCGTAAGATTTTGCTTGAATGGCCAACCGAGTAAACATCTGAACAAGATCCTGTTCAACTGGCTCTTCAGGTTTAGGGAGGAAAGAATTTCTACGCTGAGCACGTAGATTTTCTAGTAGCCGGAGACCACTTTGAATTTGGCGAATCGCCAGTTTATGGTCACCGATGAACGAGTCGAAGCAAGCTAGCAACACAGCTGCCATAAGACTCATCCTCTGTGACGCCTGGTCCTGAGAAGTCATGACCCGCATCGAATCCAGAGCCAATGAATAATGCTTAAAGGCGACCTCCCAGTGCCGGGCTGCATTATCTGTCAGATCGACTACAGGTGCTGGTGAATTTGGCGGCGACTCTGACATTTTCTCCAATGTCTTGTAAAGAGCCCCTAAAGCGACGACCGAGTGCCGAATAGCTTTCTCGGAATGGCATTCTTGTAGAACATTTCTTGTCCAGAAGGACGAGTCGAAGAATCCCGACAACTCACTAGCCGTACGCTCTCTAAAAAGTTGAAAATACAGGCCTTCTATCGGATCAAAGGTAAGCAAAGACGGCCGATGAACTGTTAATGAACTAGGTACTACTGGTGTCTGCGGGGGAGTAAGACCTTTGGCGTACAGCTGCTGTTGAGGTTCCGGTCGTGCCATCGCGACCGCTAACCGCGGTTGAGGCTGGGACCGAACTGGCCGGATGACATGGTCCGTTGGCGTGATAGGAGTAGCATCACCTGTGATAGTCTTAGGCGCAGGCGCAATCAGTCTCCTATCGGTATGTCTAGTCCGCGGAGGAGGCGGATAGCCGGTGCAGTCCCTCTTAGACCGGACGCACTGAGTGCATGCTGGCCGTTGCTCGTCACATTTAATACGTCGTTGTCTAGAATTGTAGAGCGTTCATTTAGCATGATATACAAGATACAGCTAATAACCACATATCGGCAATATGAGATAAAATGTAACATATAAAAATCGACAGTCTTGTTTTAACTAACAGAAAACACGTACTTGCAATTATTGCAACCCGTTTTGACTTTCGGCTTGCTGGTACGACATCTCCTCGGCGGCCGTTCCTGGACCTGGGTCGTATCGGCCGAGGACAGGGCCAGTTTAGGCCGTGGAGCATTGCTCGCGCTCATCTCCGAGGGCTTCAATTACTCCTGAGAAAATCAGGTACGGCCGATTGCATGACAGAGCCCACGCAAAGGGGGCTAATCTGAAATATAGCACAGAGGATAAGTGAGAACGAAGGCGATTCCTTCTTAAAGGGGCGTATTTAAGTCAGCGCGCTTCGATTCCAAGAACGCGTGAAGCGGTAGCGGTGGAGCTGGGGCAGGATCAAATAAGGAGGAACCGAGGAAGCATTGACCGTTTGAGTATACCGACAGGAATGAAACTAAATATGGCGAATAAGTTAAAATTAATATATATATAGGCATATATATGCTTTTGAGTTGACCGAGCAGACTCTTTTCTGGAAGGGTATCAAATGAATAGGTATATTTTGTGTGACCAAAGGTAAACAAGATAGAAGAAGGGGAAGAATAAAGGAGAGCGTGGATTTAATTATCCCTTTGAGATGAACGGCTACGAGTTTCTGCACGTTCTTGGGTCTGTTTTTGGTGGAGTGAGCGGACGGGATGGGGATTGAGATGGAGATATGGGGTGTCGATGGATGAGTATTTCTAAAGGTAAGGTTTAGTTCTAAATCGGAGGGGCAAGGGGGAGTTCGCCGGGGGAAGGGGGGGTTCTCTAGCAAAAAGCTAGGCGAGTCTGGCAAGTCTGGCAAGTCTGGAAAGTCTACATTAAAAAAAGGTTAGGGTGATCTGGATTGGAAAATAAATTTGGGGGCTTAGATTGCGGCACAGCTTCTGTATATACATCATTTCTACTACCTACATGCCTAGTACCTGCCTCACATGCGGTAAGCACGTACATGTAGGCCGCTGCCCAGCCAGCCCACCGACGTATTAGGGTTACCTACTAAATACTTCGATGACCGAGAGATACTTACGATACTTACCAAGATAGGTACATCGAGCATTCGAAGGTCTAAAACTTTAGTAGACAAATATATGAAAAATGTACCAATAGCAATAACCGGCCAAGACGCTATCAGAAATGCTGTGCTATTATTGATGCATATGCGGATTGTCTTTTTGCTTTGGGAGTTTTGGGTTAGGTACCTCTTTAGACATACCTAACTTATGTTACACACGCTGAAGCTACCTAAGGTATCGGTAAGGATACTCGGTAAGGACAGGTACAATACATACCTATGTAGGTTAGGTAGGTACCTAAGCCTGCAAGGCATTATCGGTAATTTGTCATATTAAGAGACATCCATTTGAGCCGGTCTTCCTTTATAAGCGCCATACCAAGAGCTTTTCGACCGATATGCCCGATTCCATGTCTATCCGTAGGGCTGTTATCTATCCGGTTACAAGGTACTTAAAATACTTAACCCAGCATCGTTACCTCCTTAAGGAACAACACATTTATGTAACTATATATTATATAAACTTATTATATAACTACATATTATGATTATCGCGTTTTAACCTAATCAATAGAAAGTGCGATGAAATGAAATTGTATGTAACTATGTAAATTCCCTTAATTCCAAGTGTCACGATATGTCGGCTAAAAGACGGCTGGCTGAAAACAGGGACCTGCTGCAGGTGAACAATTGAGTTTTGCTCCCCAGGATCGTCAAGCCTCATGTCAGCCATCATACCACCGTCATCAGTACATACCCTTTCTCCGCCTGACATAATCGGAGTATTATTACCTACATTAGCGCGCCAGCGTGGGAGGCCGACATGATCTCAGGGATAGTCCTAACGATTCGAAATGATTTCAATTAGGAGACCAGCTTTTGACGATCCTATAAATGAGCAATGTTGTTGACGAGACCCTCATGCGATTTGGTGATTCTTTCGAATTGGACATGATTATAGAAAAATACATCGTATTCAAAAAGACAAAGTCACGAAGTTCCGAGATTGTATGTAAAATATAAGGGTTTTAAGAAATAAGATACTTACTTTTTTGGAATAGTCACGTACCTCCGACATGGTCCCGGAGATCATTTTAAAATCTCGACATGATGTCGTTATAAGGATAAGTATGTATAAAGTGAAAAATTATATATGACACTATTAGGTATATGTATACCTAATAAAAGAAAAGAAAAAACATATAAGCGCATGTATTTATTTATACATAGCACCATATTATTATTACGAATAGTTGAAAATACAGAATATTACTTGTTATGATTGAGGCTCGAATTACAGGTTTACAAGTACGATTACAATTAGAATTACGATTACAAGTCTACGCGCTTTACGATTGAGCTAAGCCTTACGTTGCTACGATTTTACGGGAAACAATAGCTGGCTTGTTGTTGCAGTATATAAGGCTGCAATAAGGGGAGGCAGGTGCAATTCGAGGTAGGTATAATAAGTCATACTTACGAATAAGTCGTACTTACCTGGGCCAGAGATCATTTTGAAAGGCTGAGATCATTTTGAAGGCTGAGATCGTTTTGAAAGGCTAAGATCGTTGAAGGCTGAGATCATCTTAGAAAGCTAAAATTATACAAATTCAACATGATCCCTGAGACTATTTCAAATATGAGGCTATTTTCATTCAACATCATCACGGAGACTCGAAATGATTCGATATGCAATATTATCCTGGTGATCATGTCGGGATATTGTAATAATATTCAGATTTTTAAAATAATCTTATAAGGTGACACAATCCCTGAGATCATGTCCGCCCTCCACCCTGGCGCGGTAATGTACCTTAAACCCCTTGGCTACAGTCCACATTCTACAATCGGATGTACTAACTACGTTATAATACCTAAATGGAAACAAGAAACTCGCGTGTATTTAATGGTTATAAACAGTTTCCCTACGGCCACTTTATTGAATCAAAACCTTTACGTCGTCCAATTATAATTATTCCTAGCAACTATAAATAAAAAGGAGTTGTCAAGCACTTGGACCCTTGCTCCCTCTTAAAAATCCGGGGATAGATTATGTAGAAATTTTAACTTATGTAATCGAACTATTTAAGTTAAAGCTCGAAGTAACTAGGTATTAATTTTTAATATCTTACACTGCCGGTGGCTAAGAGCTTGTTCATGATCATCATCTCATCCCATCTCATCCTCCACTCCCGATTCATAACTCTACACCACCTCAACTAAGTCATTAATTGGAAGCATCGGTATATATTGCGAGGTGTTAAGTGCTGCTGTAACTTCGCTCCCTCATTCTTCCTTGATTTATGGCCATCTAGTTGATGTGTTACCAATCCTTTCGGAATATGTCAACACCATTTATTCGACCCATTCGCTCGCGGAACCGGTCCGCATATTGCGGAATATAATCATCCAAGAGTGCCGGATGTGGTCTTAAGCATCCCAAGTACTATATCCGTACCCACCAATTCAGCCCTACGAGAGAGCTATGATCTCCCTAGTGGTCCATCCAACTGCAGACTTATAACGCTGAGACCAATCGTTCCCCACCAAATTCATCAGTGCCAAGGGTAACGCATGCAGGGTACCTATGAAAGCCGTCTCATCTTTTACGCCAATTCGGAAGACTGGACGTCTGCATTCTTGGTCCATCAGCCCTATAGTGCAACCACGTCTGATATCTTGATTCGCTAGCGTTCCCTACGGAAGACTGCATTAGCGTCTACATGCATCATGGGGGAGGCCGCCACTATATACTATCAAAGAGTACCGATTGAATTCTACATCGCATGCAGAATCAAGGTCCGAGAAGACTCGATGCGTTCAATAGCACTCCAACTATAGAGTTACAATAAAAGGAGCAGCTGTCGTTGAACAATACTACAACCACCCAATTAAAAGAGCGCCGAGAGGGAAAATGGCGTAAAACTTTCGATATACAAATTTGGGGGCTTTTTCCTGTACTTGGAAATAGGCCGCCGGCAACATGAATTCACCGAACCTCTTATACGTCTTGTCTCTTGTCGGATGGAAGCAACCAATAACACGTCATTAATCTCAATGCAGGCAGCAGAAGAGATTGTCCGATTCCTCTTGTTTCTATGAGATTTTTATATTGGCATTGCGATAACATCGTATGCCGTACCGCGTTTATAAGAAGTTGCTTACACAACATCCTAGGTTACGTGTGTAATACCAAGGTCTTCCATTTCCCCCGCTTGTCTAACTGTCTAATGGCTACCTAACTGTTAGCCAAGACTCTTAGCCGCAGCAGCCAATAGTGATATCGATTTATTTCACATTGACGTGGCTCGAATAATAAAATCGAGTCTGTGAAACTTACACAAGCGCAATAGGTCTAGGCGCGAATGGTAAAAATTTCACGGGTTTAGGCATCCACGCCAGTACATATTGATATCGCTTCCTCGGACTGCCACAAGATGACTGGCTCGACAACCGGCGAAACCGTCACGTTCCTACCCATCGTCACATTGTTAGATGTGAACTCTGTTCGTATCTCGCATGATATACCTACATGTATTAAAGTGAGGACACCAACTCGTTCTGCTGTACAGACCCTTCAAACCGATACGACAGCCTCGCCATGGTTATTGTTTGTTGCCGCGTCAATGATACTCAAAAGAGAGGAACCTACGATTATTTCGGCCCTTTAGAATAGTAGTACAACACCCCGCATGCATAGTCTTCCGAGGCTATCCCAATTACGTGCTATGTCCTTGGAGAATGATGCCCCCGGGGTCGTAATCAGGGGGCCCTCAGATCTGACTCAGATAGGCTATCAACGTGGTACTGAGATCAAATCGACTTACTTCCGCTCTACTGGTATTGCAACCCTAGCGTTCAATGGCACTATGTATGTAAATCGTAGCGAGACCACATTCTTAGGCCGCCCCCAATTCTAAGACCACCGGACTGAGATTTCGTATCACCGACTGGCAAGCAGCAACGTATAACACATCGGCACAAAAAACCCCGCGTGAAGTCTGATTTATTAGATGGTCGCAATTAGAACCCGGATGGCGATTTTATGCTCAGTGTTAGGACAAAATCCGAACCGTAGATAAGCAAGAGAGGTACCTAACAGTACGGGGTTGGTACCTATTGGCAACGATGCACGTATAACTTAATAAAAATAGTTACTTCGATACGTAGGGAATTAATCTGAAGCCGAGATACCTAATACATACATAGAGGAAATGAACTGTTGAATTGTGTCGACTCAGCCTCTTTCACCAATAAGTGGAAACTTCTAAGCTTCTGTGCAGCCACGCGATCCTATGTACATACATACCTGATAATGGCAAGTCTCCGCTTTTCTCCCGCTCTTGGCTGATTAGTGGTGACCGACTTTTTGTGTGTTTTCACGCGGAAGCCAACGGTCGGTGGGCCACCGAAGAGTCGGTAGATGGAACAGATAAGAAGCACCGCTAGCAAGGCGCAGCAGCACCTGCAGCACCCGGACATGCCCGAAAAAAAAAATCCCATAAGGCGGGGGACCCACAATGCGGCCTTTCGTTTGGAATTCAGATCTTTGAAACTTTCCACCCTCACGAAACAAAAAAGTAACATACCTCCTAGTTACGTCAAGTATTACTTAGGTTAGGTAAGGGTAGTTCTGCATTCATCGTCATAGCGTCCGCCGTTTCACGAAAAATCTGCCTTACAATAGTCGCTACCTAAACTTATAAGCTACCTCGGCAACGATACTATATCTCTCAAACTTGGCCGATTGATGTAACTACCTGTTATCAGATATCGTGGCTGTGTTCGAGGTTGATGTTGCTTGCTTGGGAGTGTCGCCGTACTCTACATACATAGGCGAACGTACGGAGCATACCTAGGTACGCATGCAATATTGATCGTGACAGTCGAAGGAACCGAGACATCTAGACGGATGGATGGGCTCAGGAAGCCCTCGTGCTGGCTCATAGGAAGGTGATTTCTATCGTATAACGTGCATACAATAAGGATGCGGCTCTTTGCTTATTGATGTCTCAGTTGATGAATGCCGTGTCTTATCGTGTCCGGCGATGCAACTCGATCTTTACATACTATGTAAGTAGCGAGTACATAAATCATACATACAAGACTTCCATCAATGTTACAATATTTTAGGTGCCCTTACACGAACCAATTACACGCCGCAGCGCGGATCCTTGGCATGTTCCACTAGTGTACCAAGCGGCATCTAGGTACCTATGTACCTAACTTTGATTAGATAGGGCAGATAACAACAATCCAATCCCTGCAGAGAAAAGTTAAAGCTCGCTGGAGTTTTGTCTCTACCGCCGACGTCGTCTTCCATTCCAGCGCTCCGTTTAACCCGCAAGACTCACCGAGGATAGAGACCTACATACTTGGCCGACTCCCCGAAAAAACGGCAAGGCGTCCAATGTTTAATTTGCAGCTCAGCTATAGAGCTCTATCGACATTTTGCTCCTGAACCCCTCTCGACGAGCCCGCAATTTCGAAAGTCGCATAACCCCTCCACGTACCGTCCCGCTATCCCCTCGCTTCAACGACTTGACACATAGCCAATCGTTTAGACCCCGAACGAAAAAAAGAAAAAAAAACCACTTACATACCTAAGGTACCTACACACATAGAAATACGCAATGGCGTCCTCGCCATCACAACCGCAATCCGCGGCACCGCCACAGTCCACCCCCAGCCCACAACCTCCTCCCGCCAACCCCTTCGTCCACAACGTCGCGCTAGGCGTAACCCCCATAGCGCTCTTCGCACTATTCCTCCCGCCCCGCCGTCTAGACCTGCGCGCCCTGATCCTCGGGGGCGTCGCGCTGTGGGGCACGGACCGGCTCGTCGCCGACTACAGCGGCACCTCGTCGCTGCGGCGCATGGCGCAGCGCCTGGAAAGCATGTCGGGCGCCGAGCTGCCGGAGAAAGCCAAGGAGATGCAGGCGCGGCTGCGGGCCGAGCGCGCGCGGCGGGCGCAGGAGGGCCTCACGGACGAGCAGAAGAGGATGTTGGAGGAACATCGGCGGAAGGGGGGGAAGGAGGAGGAGGAAAGGGGGCTGTTGGAGAGGGTGTGGATGGGGGATAGTGGTGAGGACTGGAAGGCGAAGAGGGACCAGAGGGAGAAGGAGGCGCTGAGCGAGGGCGGCGGCGGGTACTGGAGTCTGATTGCGGATCAAGTTTCCGAAGTGTGGAATCAGGGGAAGAAGAAAGAGGGTGATGATGAGAAGGAGAAAGAAAGGGAGAGCGAGTCGAAGAAGGCTTAATTGGATTATGAGAATGGACACGGACTTACAAGAGTATTAACGAGCAAGTTGTACATTACGAGATCTGCATACATATAAGGGGAACATAGTGGACTGGAGTTATCACGGGTTTCCGGGGGGGACCGGGGGGGAGGGGGCCTAGGTATATGAAAATCCGAGCGAATAAAACGACGCATCTCTGTTAAAAAACTATGACCTAAAATCCTCGACCTTCTTTCTTCGGAATCTGCTCATAACCACGCCGTTAAAATCGAGAAGTCATAAATGAACCATGGGTAGCAACGCAGTTCAAACACTCTCCTAATGGCCTTGAGAAAGTACCACGTTGTAGAAAGCGTAAACATGCACGGACGAGCAAAACAAGCTTTTAACATTCCACGCCCAACGCCTCAGAATCGTTCCGGGAAGAAATACCACGGCCGTAGGTATATTTAGTTGCCTAGGTACTCAGTAAGGAAACCCAAGGTAGATAGGTACCTAGGTAGGTTAGGTAGATAGGTAATCACGCCGAATTCTGCGCAGAAAGGCCCTGTCTCTTCGAAGCCTTCTTATCCATCTTATCAAGCACCTTCTTGCGCTCCTTGAGGCGACGTCCGGTCAGCAGCTTGCCCTTCTTGTTGCGGATGCGCGCGGCCTCCTTTTCCTTGCGGCGCTGCTTCTTCTCGAGGCGCGCGGCCGCCTTGCTGTCGTAGTCCTCGACCCACTTGTCCAGCTTGGCCTGGACCTCGTCCGCGCCCGCGCCCGCGCCGAGGTCCTTGGCGATCTTCTCGCGCTGCTTCTCGATCAGGCGGATGCGGCGGCGCGCTTGGCGGTTGAGACCCGTCGGCGGCTTCATCTTGCTCGGGCCCTTGGATTCGCCGTCCAGAGACATCTCGTCGTCTTCGTCTGCTGCGTCGTTGGCTTTTTGCGGGATGGAGTTAGGGTCGATGGGTGTGGGCTTCGTGTCGATTGCGAAGAGAGCTGCGCCGTTGTCGTCGTCGTCCGAAGAATCGGAATCGGAATCGGAGTCGGAGTCTTTGGAGATGGGGCGCGCGGGGAGTTTGGCGCCGTTGGATGCTCTATCGGCTACTGCTTCCTCGAGGGCGGCCTTCTTGGATTTCTTTTCCTTCTTCTCCTTCTTAGGTTTGACCTCTGACACGGACTCGGCCGACTGGAATCCAACTCGTAAGTCTTGCATTCACATAAGTCTCGAGTGTAGAAATACTCACAGATTTCTCAGCTGCTGCTGGGGTATCTTCTATCTTGACGAACTCATTGTCAGACTCTTCGGGCGTATCTACACGCTTCGACTTCTTTTCCTTCTTCTGCTTCTTCACCTTGTCCTTAGAAACCTTCTTCTCGGGCTTTTCAGCCTTCTTGTGGAGCTTCTCAGCTCGTTCCTTGGCCATCTTGCTATATTCCCAAGGCGTTGCAAAGTTGAATTGAAGCGAAATAAGTTGTCTTGGGCGAGAAGAACAAATGACGGCAGGACAAGGTGAATATAAGTAAATGGACAGAAGCAGGTGCCGGCCAATTAGATCGGATCGTGAGAAACTGCACGCGACGAAAGTTTAAGAAAAAAAAAAGTTACAGGTACAGTTATCTTATCAGTAGATCCTTAACGCTAGCTGTTAGCTCTGCCCCGCACCCGTTCAAGCTTTCTTGTTACTTTTTTGTACCTAGGTACCTACATAGAAGTCATGGCAGGGATCTAAGTACATACCCAAAGTACCACCAAATTATACCGACGTACACTTTACGTACCTATATAAGTTATGACTTCTTCTGATTTATTGAAGCCCCAATACCGTTGGTGTCTGCCTCATTACCACCTGCAATATAAGTACGAGCTGTAAAAAGTTTAATTACACTTAAAGGAGCTGGACTATGAAAGCTATTGCCGAGTTTCTTCCAAGACGAAGGAATCAAGTAGACCAGCTTTATAGCCCTCAGCAAGATTGTCATTTGGGAAATTCAATATTTTCACGTAATATATGGCTCAATATTAGTCTTAACTTGTAAATATCAATTGTGATATTTCTTACTACCTTCAGGTATAGAATTACTTAGAATAGAAAGGACAGGGCAGTTATCATAGATGGTTTTATATCACTTTCCGTCCAAGTCAGATTTCGAGGTTACATGCGTTAAACTAGGTCTTTATATTGTTAGATATGTTGCGATTCCTTCCGAATGGGTTTGAATTTGAGACGGCTCGTGGATGTATTCTTGGAGACATGTACCAACGCTTAATATACCACATGTGTACTTTCTATCATGTACGTGTGAGAGTAAGAAGTAGCGAAGAAGATTGAAAACTGGTTTGGCAATTTCTATCTTAGAACATACGCTTAAACTTAAACATACATACCCATAACGCTGGTATCTAATACGGACTAACAATATACAGCATCTTATATAGCAACTACTCTCATAAAGACTCTTGGCGAGAAAAGGGGACCTTGAATCGGATCGAACATTATTAGCAGAGCAGATGTCTTAGGTATATAATATTGTGTGATCCCTAGCGGCATAGTTCGTTATGTATGTGAAATAGTTAAGTTATATATCTAAATAACTATGTAGGAAACATATAAATTATACACCTACGTCCTAGGAAGCAACGCTTGAACCTCGTCATTTACAATATTCGCTACCTACCTATGTATCTACTTCCTATAATTGGACTCTGGTAGTTGTTACCCGTCGATGATAAACCTGGATATACAAGGTAGCAACTAATAACCGCAACTTCCACCAAACACATTAGTTATATTTGATTCCTATCTAGAACTATAGTTGCCAAGTAGGATAGGAGTTTCCCTCATTTACCCCGGCATCCTACTCTTACTAGACCAATACGTTACCCTTTGATATCTTGGGGAGGCGGGACGCCTTCGTTAACTCATATAGATACTTGCTACCGGCCTGGCCTAATATTTAGTGAACCAGTCTACGAACCTGTTTCGTTTCCTACGTGACATCATTCAGATAACGTTACTACGGCATATTTAACACCCAAGTGTACGCATTGCGCTGTTTCTGTTCTGCATGTTTTTGCATTTAACTAATTACGGTTATAAGCAGCATGTCTCCTAAAAAGCCAGGGCCTTCTAGCAAAGGGAAACGTACAGCGATCAGGAAGACTGCTCCTCCTGGCTGTGGCGCGCGCAAACGAAATGGACCTACCGCTGCAGAAAAGCGAGCGGAAAAGGCTGCTGAGAAAGAAGCCGCTCGTGCGAGGGAGGAGCATCGACTTCGCCGCGAAGCCAAGATGGTCGAACTGCCGACTCACCCCGATGATGATCTCTTAGTATTACCTATGACCCAGAGGACAACCCGAAAGCGCTCCGCCAACGCGGCCTACGACGACTGCGATAGGAGCAAGCGTCCCAAAATCCTTAAAAATGGGAGCATAAAGAAGGTCTCGCGCCTCTTTCCTTGGGAGAAAGACAAAAATCTCGAACAACCACCCTCCCTCGACACACTTAGGCTTGAAAACCCGACCTCCGTTGAAGCCATGGGCACCCTTAATCGCCTCCCTACCGAGGTTCGTGACGATATCTTACGGTACATCCTGGTTTCTCCTCGTGATATTGCAGTGTTCAGGGGTTGGACCCGAGTCTACGGACGTAGGGGACCTAAACTAGACCTCGCAATCCTCTATACGTGCCGTGCCTTATGGCTGGAAGGACTTCGTATCCTATTTGGTGAGAACACGTTCCTCTACGACATTCGCGACCCTCCTGAGCATTTGGAGATGACCGAAAGAATCATGAGCCGCGTGTTTCTCAAGGACAAGATACCTATTGATAAATACGGACACCTGATGCGTCATATCAAGATTAATGTCCCAGTGAACCGCCTGAACAGCACAGTAGTTAGCAATTTCTGCAGTGCTATCCGCAAGTTTGTTCCTGGCCATGGTCTAGCCGAACCAGCACATCTTCACACGTTGACACTCAAAATACCGGCGGTACAGGTGAAGAATATGGGCTTCAATAATGGGATTGAGGATCGTAACGAGGTGCCTGCCGCTAGGTTATTCAACCACTTCACCACTACTAGAGAGTCACTTATGCTCCTTAACGTCCAATACCTCCGTATCCTAGCCACAGATAGCGATGCGAACTTGTACGAGAACATAATTGATCTCCGGTATCACTACAAGCAGAAACAGGCGCAGGATGATAAGAACGGAGTCGTAGTCAAGGATGCGGTGGGTGCCGAGGCCTATTTTAAGAAACAAGTCAAGAGTGCGAAGTCGCAAGTGTACATGCTCGAAACGGCGATCGAAACGCTGGCAAGACTCTGTCCAAAGGGAAGGGATAGCATGAGTTCTGAGCACTGGAAGTTCCTAGGACAGGAGAAAAGGGGGCGACGCATGGATAGCATGGATATGCAAATACTGCCAGACGACTGGACTGAAGCCACCGAGCCCGCCTCGTCTCGAGGATGGAGAGGTCTAAGTGCTAGGGCTGAATATACACAAGAGTGGTTGGCTAGAATGATCGCCGAAGACGACGAGTCGGAAACTTCTGATGATTCGGATCAAGGGATTGCCTCGTCTGAGTAGGGAAGATGAGACGGATTAGGGGATTTCTGAAGAGCCTGAGGCGATGCATTCGGACCCACGGACTTCTTGCTTATGAGCATATAACTTGTGCAACTCTCACAACGCGTTACTTTTGCATGCGCGTTGATTTCACACGTTGATTTCATGTTACGGCTTAGGCCTAATAAATACCTTCTTTCGGCGGACTTACGGTCTCGCCTCGCGCTAGGTTTAATCGATTCTTTATAATGACATATAAGCTCCCCCAAAATCTATGTAGTTATATGATAAATGGTCGCTACCCTTGGCCCGTGAATATCCTTGGATTTCTCGCCCTCTAGCCTTGGCTACTATACACGGATATCATCGGCGAGAGCTTCCTATTCTGGAGACTCCTCAAGTCTTACTCGTTATAATCCTAGCATAGGTACCTACCTAACTTCGCACTCGGGCTGTAGTCTCCTAGACGGCAGCGATTTTAACCTTGGTGACGTCTAAGGTCTCGGTATCCACCAGCACTATCTCTTGGGTATCTGCAAAGGACGGCACGGAAACGAGCCGTACGGCTTGCCCTTCTGGGCCTTGTATGACTTTGGTGCCGAACTCGGGCTGGCAGCCGGCGAAATATAGGTGCGGACATGTTTGCATGACGAACGGGTCGTCGTCTTGGAAGGGGTAGCTCCCTAAATGTCGTAGAGTGGTTAGCTCTCGAAGGGGAAAAGAAAAGGAGAAAAGGAAACTCTAGTAAGGGAGAGGGGAGAGGGGATAGGGGACAGAGTTAAAGACAAAGCAGAAGACATACATAGCGTATCAGGCGCAGTCGGCGCACAGCATCTCCATCGACACGTCGCCTCCATCATGCCTAGCCGATCATCGCTATCGACGTACTTGAATATATCATCGATATTCTGCCCTCCGGTCCCTAGCACGCGCCACCCATCAATCTCACCCTCCCACGGATTCGTCACGCTGTCGAACCAGCCGGGCTCGGCGTCCGTAGCCGTAGGCGGTGCCGTGTACGGCCGCGAGTGCGGGAACATGGCCGGGTGGATCGGCTGCTGCGGGAAGCTCGCGTTTGCGGGGTCCTGGGCTCCGGGGAGCAGGGTTACGGGGATGGAGGGTAGCAGAGCGGAGAGGAACTCGTCGAGGAGTTGCGACGGCAAGGCGTTGTACGCGCTGCTGTCGTAGCCGTACTTTTTGTGTGCCTTTTTCTCGGTTATGTCTTCGTCGGCGCCGGGGCGTCGCTCCTCGAGGGAGATGGAGTTGCCCGCGATGATCAGCCGGCTTATCTGGGATAATTCTTGTTGCGCGGACGGGTCGAGGGATTCGCCGAGCAGGAATTCGAGGAGTAGGCTTAGCTCGATCGCGTGTGAGGCGTCGGTGCCGGAGAAGCCTAGGCCGGATACGATGGCGATTTTGGGCCCGCTGCCTTTCGATCCGGCGTCTGTCATCTCGGCTTCTTGGTCCTTGGCCCTAGCCTCGGCCTTTCCTTTCGTAATACCGCCCTTGGTGTCTACGGGCGGCTTAGATAGCGCCCAGCGTTTGGGCTGCGGGGGCAGATCTGGGAATTTCAGGTCGATGACTTCGAGCTCGCCGTTCGCGTTCTCGGCGCCCATAACCGCGATGATGCACCCGGTCACAAGGAGTACCGAGTTCAGCACGTCGCCGACTAGGCGTATACGGCCGGACTCGTCCTCGAGGGTGACGGCATCGGAACCGTCGTCTGAGTAGTATTTTTTGTTTGAGATGGGGGCTGAGAGCCATCGCTAAGGAGAGTTAGATTCTGGGTTAGACGGTTTAGAAGTTCGATCACGTACATCCTTCGAGACATCTTCCAAGATATTAGGTTTCAGAGGCATATCCATATAAACGGTACCCGAAACCCAACATAGCTCGCCCTGTCGAATATCCAACACCCGCTCGACCTTCTTCACCGGCTCCTCACCGATAACCTGGCCATCCCAAGCAGCAGAAGCGAGCTGTTCGACAGCAGGCTTGATCTTGGTGAGCCGCAGGAAATACATATCGGCAAATTGTTGCTTATAAGGCTTATCCTTATCAAGCCTGAAGGAGTGCAGCGGCTTGTAATTCGAAGAAGCTCTCTGGAGCTCATCCCCCGTCTCGCCCCTGTGAACTGTCAGTTACCTAGTCTATAGCCTATTGTCTATTAGAATTGAAGAGTTGCGAAGACCTACGAAGGCTTCCGGAGCAAGTTTCCGGGGATATCATCTAGCGTAGTCATCGTGACGATCTTATAATTAACATCCTCGGCCTAGGTTTAGAAGAAATAGTAGTTATAGGGAAAATTCACAGAAAGACGCGTCCACCGAACGAAGACGCGTTTTTGGCGTTAATTGACTGTGGCTTGGTTTAAGTTTAAGGGTGGCTTTAGCATTCTAACAGAAGGTTCTAACAGCTGCCCGGTAGCGATTATGCGTGCTTTTATTGGCTAAGACCCCTGTATCGCGGGGTAAGGCTGATAGCATGGGTGCTGGAAGGCTGGTTAGAAGTTAAATGGAGCAGATGGAGACAATTCCCCAATTCTATCGATAAGAAAAAAAAAAGTCCAAGAATTAACATCAACTTGCATGCGAAAGATCTAGCATTGAAAGATCGACGATTTTGAATAAACACCCATATTTCACACCTTAAATTGAAATAATTACAACTCATTCGCTCAATTCAAGGTTTATCGGTTATAAAAGTATTATGGATTCGTCTATAGGCCAGCCGGGAGCGGCTGAGCCCCAGCAAATCCGGGTCAATTTCACCACGACATCTCCAGATCTTCAATTACCAGAAGGTCGAACCCAATTGCTCGTGCCAGCAGGTCCGTCTTTGCTCCCTCCCATCGTAATACCAAATCATACTTTATACTTAACTTAATTTACAGATATCAAGCGATATGGCCTATCCCGCGTCCTCAACTCCGAGTCGATGCTCGACACCCCATCTCCTATCCCCTTCGACTTCCTCATCAACGGCAGCTTCCTGCGCACCTCGCTCGAGGACTACCTCAAGGCCAACGGGCTCTCCGCCGAATCCACAGTTACAGTACAGTACGTCCGCAGCTTAATACCGCCCAGTTTTCAGGCTAGCTTCGAGCACGACGATTGGGTTAGCGATGTCGATGTTCTGTCTGAAACCTCGCGCGCGGGCGTCTGGAGCGGAGGGAAGTTTGTTACGGGCCAGGATAGGATTTTGTCGGCGTCGTATGATGGCCTGCTGAGAATATGGAATAAATCCGGGAACGTAATCGCGACTTCTTCGTCCAGCAGCCTAGGCGGCCACAGTGCCAGCGTTAAGTCTGCGAAATTCATATCCGCATCCCAGGTCGCATCAGCCGGGCTCGACCGCACAGTCCGCATATGGAAGTACACCGAGGCCGATGACTATCTCTCTGGCACTCTGAAACCCACGCTTGAGCTATACGGACACAAAGCCGGTATCGAATCTCTCGACGTCCACGGCCCCACGGGACGCATCCTAACCGCCGCCAGCGACGGCACCATCGGCCTCTGGACAACATCCAAATCCAACGCCCCCGCGGCCCCAGCAGCCCTCCTCCCCGGCGCCAACGCCTCCTCCTCCAAGAAGCGCAAAATCGCCTCCTCAGCACCCCAACGCGGCCCCCTCTCTCTAACCCAACCCCATACCTCCGCCGCCTCCGCCGCGCTCTTCGACCCAGCCGATGCGACTATCGCATACACCGCGTCCCAGGACCACACCATCCGCACCATCGACCTAACCACCAGCAAAGTCGAAAACGTAATCACGACCTCGCACCCGCTCCTCTCGCTATGCGCCATCCGACGCAGCGGCAGCAGCGCGCTCCTCGCAGCAGGCACTTCGGCACGCCACATCACGCTTGCGGACCCGCGGGCCGGCGCGGCCGCGACCTCGGTGATGACGCTGCGCGGCCACCGGAACATGGTGACTGCCGTCGCGGCGTCGCCCGACAACGAGTACAGCCTCGTCTCCGCCTCGCACGACGGCACGTGTCGGATCTGGGACCTGCGGGGCGCGCGGGCGGGGACGCGGGCCGAGGGCGGGGGGGCGGTCAGCGAGTCTGTGTACGTGATTGAGCGGGAGAGCCGGAAGGGTAGCAAGGGCGGCAGCGATGTGCCGGGCCGAGGGGCCAAGGTGTTTGGCGTGGCGTGGGATCGCAGTTGGGGGATCGTTAGCGGTGGGGAGGATCGGATGGTGCAGGTTAATCGGGGGAGGGATCTGCTTGCGGTTGATTAGGCGCCAGTTCAGGCGTTATTTTCAAGAATAGAAGTGGGCGAATGAATGAGTGAATGGACGAGTTAGGTACGTCGATGGGTGATGGTGGGAATGGTGAGAATGGTGGCTATACCTAGGTATCTAGTTAGAGAAAACGCGGATGGATGTGCAAGAGTAGGTATTTACCTAAGGTGTGTATTGTATGTATACCCCCGCGTAGATCTAATACAAGTAGTATATATGCTGGTATTATCTATACTTCAAATGAGATCTTGTTCTACCTGAGCGTAAGAATTGCCTGTGTATAGGGCTCTTCTCAGCTCTAAACGTGTGGTAGTGTTATTGTGATATCAATTGCGTAGACGACAGTTAAGTTGGTCACCCTCGACGTGTCCGTCGGCCACTTCGTATGGGCTACGTTGGTTATGACATGCATGACATCGTTCTATTCATCAACTCTCATCGAGTATAGGTTTGACTTGTACACAAATACTAGCTACGCTTCCAACCTTTGTTATATAAAACCCCCTCTTTCCGGATGTCCTATCTCCGACCTTCAACTCAACAAGATCAAAACTATCGTGCTCGAACATCCAAAGATCCACCGCGTTTATAATCAGTTAAATCAAGCGGGCATTTCCGCGAGACCTAAGATAGCAGCGGCATACGGCCACCGCAAACACACCAAGTTCGACGAAATCGTGCCCGCAGTCTCCTCGTTGAGCCGCTCCTTATCTACGGGTAGCCTCTCATGCTCGATCACGGCAAATATATAGCTAGCAACTGTGCTGGGCTTTAGAGGCGGGTCTCGTAGCAGCTGCCCTATAGTCTGGGGATCGAGGCCCTGGTTGTGCCACATGAAATACGCGCGAAGCTGCGGGAGGGTTGCGCGCGCCTCGGGATGCGTGGCGCGGTACCGTGCGACGCGGTCATCGGCGATCTCGATTCGGGAGTCCTTGGGAGCCGACGACCGTTTAGAGGCTCTGGTTTTGGATTTCACGGTTGCGGCTGCGGTTGTGGTCGCAGTCGCTTCGACGACTGTCTCTACCACCGTCTCAACGACGGTTTCGTCCTCCGTAGAGAGTTCTAACCCGTCTGCTAACCGGATAGGAAGATTGAGCTCTGCGTGATATGGGGGAGGCGGGCAAGGCTTCAGCTGTTGTCTGTGATGGTCGAGAGTAGCGAAAAGCTGCAATCCGGCATAGGCATCTGATGCAGAATCTAAATGCTATTAGCTTGAGGGTGGGAAGGTGGAATGTATTTGCTTACAAGTGATTTGGTCTATGTTCAGGGGTTTCGTCCAGTCGCTTGACCGGACGTCCTGACCTTTGTAAAGGGGTAGATGTAAATATTGCTCTACTTGTGTTGCTAGGGGCACAAGTTTCTTATTAATTTCGCGGTGGCGCCCTTCGGCAGAAAAAGTGACGAGCCTGTAAAGGTGGCTTAACTCTATGAGTCCTTTCGAGTCTACGTTCAGGTAATTGCGTATCCTCGTTGCATCTCCCTTAATACTAACGCCGACCTTTGTAACATATGGGCTTTCCATAATAGCCCTGAACGAGGGACCGACCATATCATCTGTATTGGGAAAAAGAGCGACGTGGAAGAGCCCAATACGGCTGGGACTCGCTAGCTGGATTAAAGAGACGTTCTTCTTGAGGCTTTGCCACTTATAACAGTCGGCGGCCCATTCCAGATCGAAGCCAAGGATCTGTTCATGCGAGAAGTATTCCTTGCAGACCTTTTCCATGGTATGGCTGCTTCGGCAGTAGTGGACCTTAACCTTCTGCTCTGTGCCGTCTTGTCCTATTCCCCGGTACTGGGTATATGACCAATATGAAGCAGCCGTGCCAGCGGGTGCCTTTTTAGCAGCGTAGAATAAGTCATCCACCATTTTAAAGGGCAAAGTAGCAATGGGAGGCTTGTCAGAGGCTTTTGCCTTTAATGATTCCGTCTGCTCATCTGCGAGAACAGCATCGGAAATCTCATCTATAGTTTCAGTTGCTTCGAGAGTAACTGCTTTCACCTTCCGCGTTTTACGCTTTACAACCGACGGCGATAGCTTCTCAATTTTCGGGTATAGAGAAGCATCTAAGCCATTTGAGTCTTGTGGCGCCAAGTTTGGCGACTGCGCAACGGGTGAGAAGGAGATGCCCCGAGCAGGGTTCCATGTTTGAGATTTAGGTGGTGTGGCGGTCATTCTCAAAGCCTGCCCTGCCCAACGGCTAGAGGGATGAAGCATTGTTAATAAGAATATTCCTTTCGTCTTCATGTATATGAATTATGAATAGGTACTCAAGAAGATGGACGGACGAACCGCAAGGGGAGTTTCATGCGCAAGGCTTTGGAAGATCTCAAGGCATTTCCGGCGATCTCTGAACTTCCAAAAGACATCATTGGCAATTAACTGGCTCCCATGTGTCAAGACACTGCTCCATGATGACCATGTAGCTTAGTGTAAATTATGCGGATGCTTTATTAGGCAGACGCGTCGCAATGGGCGAGTAAAAGTGGGAGTTGCTTTAAATACTTAGTGCTTCTCAAGTATAAACGGAGTCAAGTCGAATTCAATGTCGGTCTGTCGGTTTTAGGAGGTTTAGTGATCCACTTGGCTTGTTGTTCAATCCTGCAGGGAAGTTGTAGGCTGATTTTTGCTGAGTCATCTCTTTACACGACCAGCACCCGTCATCAGGTGATCAGTTTTCTTGTCCTATCCCGACTTAATTTACGGATTACGGATTAGATACCTCTTACCTAAATACTTACCTAATTCACCTGCAAACGCTATTAGCCCGAGGCCGTCCATACATCTAAGGTATCTTCTCACTTTCACAACAACACTCTTTGCTCGATACTAAACCAATATATCGACATGGCATCCCAGCTTCTACCATTAGGTACGTAAATCTTCGAACTATATATTTCAAATAACCAATGTTGACCCGCATCACAGAACTCATCGACAAGTGTGTCGGCTCCAGGATATGGGTTATCATGAAGGGTGACAAGGGTACATATATTCATCCGTGCGCCCTGAAATAGGCCAGACCATGACTGACAAGGTGTACCACTAGAATTCAGCGGAACCTTACTGGGATTTGACGACTACGTCAGTAAGTAAAAAAAAACATATGACTCTTTCGCTGTACCATGCAAACTGATGAAACGTTTAGACATGGTCCTAGAAGATGTAACTGAGTTGTATGTACATCGCCAATGATATATCACGATATCACATGATTGGGGCAAAATCTAATTTGAGACAGCGATTACTCTGGAAACCATACGAAGCTCTCCAAGATCTTACTAAACGGTAACAATATATGCATGGTATGTACCAAGGCATCATTGCATACACACATAGGCTTATTACTTCCTACAGTTGATTCCGGGAGGAGAAGGGCCTGTGGCCGCTTGATGAAAACGAGGTTGGATATGGGATATCGTCTGATGAATCAGGGTTGCATTTTCCTTGTCGACGACTATACTGAACTAACGTACTAAGAAGCATGTGCCTCGTATATCATGACGAGTGAGCAGGGAGTTAGGAAATCAATGGAATTATGGCGGCTAAGATGACCCAGATGGAGGTCCTAGTCCTAGTCTGCATGACGAATGATTCTTTTGTGTCCCTAGAATATTACAAATTGCCTTTTTACATGAGTTGAAATGAAAGCAAAACCGTAACGCCTGGTATCCGACCAACCCCGTCCAAAATGCATCATGAGAATGTATGCCGCCGTAATAGAACGCTCAAGGCTTCCCGTTAGCACCGCCACCCGAGTTATTGTCCTGCTCTCCCGCGGTGGCCATGCGGCGGAGCTCGTATTCTCGGGTGAAGTTCTGAGCAAGCTGCCCGAGAGAAGCTACAAGCTGCTTGCACACATCTATGAACACCTCACGGGGAGTAACTGTGCCGTCGGTCTGGAGACGGATCAAGACCTCGGGGACGTTGGGATGGGCAACTATGTGGTGGTTAGAAACCCAAACTTTAAGATAATTACGAGAAATTTGCTTACCTTTGTAACCGGCCATCATCACGTGGGGGTGCTGCTTGAAGTGCTCCGCAAGCAGGTTGCCAATAGTGTGATCCTCTTTGAGAATGATGAAATCCGAGGTGTTTGACATGCCTAGTATTCATCAGCACTACTAGGTCCCTTAAGTGTAGACAAAATTTACTTACCAGCAAAAGGCTTCTCGGTGATCTTTTTCTCGTCTAAGGCCTCGTTGAGGAGGAACAGCTCGAAACTAGGCGTTAGTTAGCTTTTGATCATAAACTAACAGGGGATATTCTAACGGCTCCATTCTAGAGGACTCCGAGTAGGGTTCCATATTAAACGGTTATGTGGTGTAGAATTGGTGGGTAGACGGGTAGAGCAGTTGGAAAGTACAGAGGCACAGGTAAAGAGGGTGATCTGATGCTATTCCTAATTGCAGGCCATCCTTAGGGAAAAGGAGGCAATTATGCGCCTTGCAAACCATAGAATCATACTGTACTGCTCCAGTGCACCTTCCAAATTACAGACATAGAGAAGCACTAAAGAGGATGATAAGATAATAAAGCTTTGAAATATCACCTACCGGTCTGGCGCGTTCATCTTGGCGGCTGTCTATCAAAACGGGATAGAAAGAACTGCGAGTAGGCTCGACCTAAATATTCGTAATTGTTACTGATGTTTACTGATGAGGCTAACGCAGGTATCGTTAATGCTCTTGTTATACAAGACGGAGTCAAGGTGCAAGCAAGAAACCGAAAGCGAGAAATATGTATTGAAGATTGAAAAGTTCAAGTCATGAATGAATGCATGAATGAATGAACATTGAATGAATGGGTTCATTCCAAGTACCTGAGCCAGGTCAAAGCGCGTCTGGCTGGCCAATCGGCTAAATATCGGTATAAATGATACGTACTGAGTTGCATGAGCCACAGGTCGTTTAACTTTCAATGATTCAATGTTTCTCATATCAGCAAATCGACTTCGTCCATACAAGTTAAAGTTATAATATACTATGATTCTTATTCTTCTAATAGACGTTATTATATTCTATATTCAAGAGTATGAATACCAACATCTTCAAGTAGAACAATAACTACACCTTATTCTTAGAAATCTAACCCTACACATATGTAGGTAGGTAGATACCCAGCCAACACACGCGTAACAACCTAGAGGTAAAACAAAGCAATCCCAAATATTAAATGGGTAAGGTACCTATGCTAAAAAGCCATGCAAGTTCTATTTCCACGTAGACCAAAAACTCATCTCTTACGAGGATAAAATATTTCTAACTCTGTCGCGTCAATCTCCCAACGCTGCCAATGCAAAATAATATACACAGCTATTCCTCCTTTCAAACACCCTCTTATGGTATTATAGCTTATTAGGGTCGCAGTACTTCGGTAGGGTTGGGCCGGAAGGGCCGCTGGCCCAGCTAATCACCGTCAAGCTGGTGGTATATGCCATCGCTATGAATCCGAAAATGCAGAGGAGGATATCGGTTACCTTCCGCGCCCTGCTTCTCGCTACCCCCTTATAATGAAGCAACGGCTGAAGAAATATTAGTACGTCCTAGTATGGCGTATAAAAGGGACGGGCACACTTACAGGGTAGATATACACGAGAGGGATGCAGGCGAAGTTTCCGACGAGAGCAACAAATTTGTCCAGATCGTCCGCACCTCCCCATGCAATAACTGCGCAGAGGAAGACAACCAAGAAACGGAACATATTCTTCTGCCACTTGATGTACGGGTTGTACTTGCCGCTTTTCGTGAAAAGAGCGTTCTCCGTGATACGAATAGCTGGGAAAATCTGCAGCGGTGTTGATAAAAGAATAGCGAGCGAGTATAAAAACTGGACACCGTTGACGAGCTTGTTGTCCTGGGGTAGATTGAGAAGAACAACAGTCTCCGTTTTCGATCCGTACGCGGCGTAAGACACCGCACCCATGGTAATAAAAAGGACGGAAATGATTATCATAACGTAGAACATGACCTTGGGGAATTTAGACGGCGACCTCATAGACTCCTGAATGGGGATGATGAGGCCGATCCCCTCGAAAGTGAAGATGGCGGTGCCGATGAAGAGTGTCCAATGCTTTTGGTTAAACTGAATGATATCCGCGATGCCGTGAGTACTTAAGGTAAGGACGTCATAGTAGAAAAGATACGCAAGGCCGATGACAATAAAAGCATCCGCTATTAGAGCCGTGAAACCAAGCTTCCCGATATCTCGGAACAGAGAGAACGGCAAAAAGATAATCATCTGCGTTAGGATCAACCAGGTAATTCGAATGTGCGTGTTGCAGTCGGATACGGCAAGAATGACGGCCTGCAGATTTTCAGCCGTGAATACGATGTACGCAGCGACAAATCCGATTTGGCTGATGACGATCGAAAACAATATAAGTTTTCTCATCCAATCGCCATATAAAATTCCACCGATATCACCAAACGAGCCTTCGACTTTTAATCGTGTAGTAACAAGCAACACGAAGCAGTAGTAGCTCAACGCCGCAACGAAGAGTAGAACCAAGTTGCTGAAAAGCATACCACCGTTGAAGTAAGCACGAGGCAGAAACAAAACACCTGTACCCACAAACGATTTCAGGAGAAGTAGGGCCGCATTAAAGGGGGTATTATTCCCGCTACCACCACGGACCCTTCGTCTCCTCTTGCGTTTAGACGGTGTCAGTAGGGCACTGTCTTCCATCGGCTCTCTCTCTTCCTCGCTATCGTAGTATTCATCACTTTCTCCAGAAGAGAAGTACTCGCCAGGGCCCAATACTTCGTCGTCCTCTTCGAGCTCTTCGCCTGCGAAGTGGCCATAGATAGATAAAAATTCCAAGAAACTGCTAGTGAGTAACTGAGGATCTCGCCTACCCCTCGACGTCCCTTCCCCAGCTTCCAACCCATCAGAGTCCAGGTGCGGGCTACGCGCCGCTCTCCTCAGATAGTTCCGCCTGAATCCGCCAGGGACCTTGATGGTGTTTATATCGAGAACTTCACTCTCGGGCTCGTCCCTAGGATGGCTGAAGCTCTTGCTACGCTGATGTCGGTTACGGCCTTCTGCGTCTTCGGTCCATTTATAGATCTGGCGCGTTATGTCTCCGCCTTGTAACTTGAGGCTGGAGAATTCTTCCTTGTCGTCGCGTCCCAGCCCTACGGCATCGCTGACCTGCTTGCCTTTGGAATTGTCACCATTGTTGGATGAAGAATCCGTAGCGTCGGTAGGTTGTACCAAATGCCGCTTAATAATCTCGGGGTCTTCGTAGGCGCCCGAAGCGCCGCCCTGCCAATTTCTTGACCTTGTCTCGAAGGAGCCGTAGTTGGTTGGGGTTATAGATGGCTGTGGCCCCGAGGTTGTTCCCGCCGGCGACGAAGATCGTATCGGTGGAGTACCGAATCTTGGTGGTGATGTCCCTACGGAATTTGAAAGCGCTGCAGCGAGAGCAGACACTCCGGGACCCATAGAACTCTGACCAGCACCAGCAAGTGGCCCTACATTCTCAACGTTGTCTTCACTTCGTATTGCACCCTGTGGCCGTTGAGACGGCGGAGTTCCAAAGGCGTAGGAAGCTACGGGAGAAGCCAAGCGAGCGGTAACATCAGCGCGAGGAGCTGAAGTTCCGTACATGCGGCCGGAAGCTGGAGAGGATGATAAGTGCACTCCCGAAGAAGCTCCAGGTTGCGGTGTTATGCTTCCTTCCCGGTCGGAATTCGCCATGGTGAAGTTTAGGACAATGGTTGATGACAATAAGTGAGCATTGAGGTATCAGCGGCGTCGGAGCTGGCGGCGAAGAGGTTGGGGAATAGGTCGACGGTTGGAAACCGAAGTTATCGGGAACTAATTATAAACAAGAGTTAATTACAGAGTTCCGGAGATTAATATAAGTAATGCACTAGATTAGGAGTTCGATTAAGGAAAAGACTTTGTCTTAGACATACTAGTAGATGCGAAGAAGAAGGCTACAAGATGATGCGATGGAAAAGAAGGCGGTAGAGAGAGAGAGAGACAGCTGTTGTTGGACAAGGTGTGTAGATAACCAAGATACTTGGGCCCTCGTGATACTACCTTATCAGTCAGACCCTGAAGAATTGGCCTAAGTCGGTCAACTGCATCATTTGGAGCCGTACCACGGGATGGACCAAATGCGCCTTGATTTCTCAGCCAATTAGCAACCGTCAAATTATCTCCGGGCTACTCTAAGCACTGGAATATTTCGGACCGGTACACAATAGTGGACCTACCTAATAAGCACATTACTGTTAAAGAAGGAGCCGATGTTATCATAGGTACCCAGAGGTAGGTTTAAACTTCAAGTCGTACACACTAGGCAGTTGTAGTTTCTTTACGTATCTAAGATAAGGTAGTTTTAGGTCTTTTTAAGTTCTATACTATTTTATTTATAAGATCAGCTTCGTCTAAAATTATCCAACGTCCCGATATTATTTTTGTATTATCATATAAAAAATAGCAATTGGTCAAGTCGCTCTCCATCATGTCCAACCCCAGACTGTATGTCTCGTTTGGGATCAGCTGCCAGACGTCATTGGACCAAACTTGATTCAATTCGAGAGATGAGCTGTGGAGAATATGACTAGACTACAACCAGTCTAGCTATTCGTCTGATATTTGTTTGCATCCCTTCTGGCATCTGATTTCGACGATCCCCAAGCTCAACTTCGAGCGGGGTTACTATAGGATAATGATACTCCAATATGCCTGCTTGCCGCAAGAGTCGGTAGCCTCTCACAACGACGAGGCCAGCCTCCATACTGTTACGATATTTTATAACAACAGTAAGAATTCGTGAGGCTCGTTAATACAATATGCCTCCAGAATCCCGAGATAACAGGGGCTCCGGCCTGGCGCCGTCCAACAAGAAGGTTAAGCTTGGAGTCGTTGCTGGAGTCTTTATCCCCGTGGTTCTAAATATCATCAGTATTTTAATGTTCCTTCGTTTCGGTTCCATCATGGGTCGGATTGGACTGGTTGGGATGCTAGGTAGGTCTTACTAGTACCTACGTGACGGTTCGGCACCTTACATACGAACGTTTACGCAGGTTTACTTGTTATAGCATATATTGTCGATTTCATTACTACGCTCTCCCTATCTGCTATAGCGTCTAACGGGGAGGTCAAAGGAGGTGGTGCCTACTACTTAATTTCAAGGTCCCTTGGTCCTGAGTTCGGCGGCTCGATTGGTATCTTGTTCTATCTCGCCCAAGTCGTAAACACCTCGCTTAATATCGTTGGTCTCATAGATTGTTTAAAACTCAATCTAGGACCTTCAATACCACACAGCTACTGGGAAAGCTATGGCATGCAGACTGTTGCTCTCATTTTCTGCACGGGTCTAAGTCTTGCCGGACGTGCTCTCTTCGTCAAAGCAAGCGGTGGCCTCATCGTCATATTAACGCTAGCCATCATAAGCATCCCTATCTCGACTATCGCGAAGAGTCCATTCAAGGATGATGATATTGGAATTGAATTCACTGGGTTGAGCCTGGCTACGATGCGTTCCAATCTCTTTCCACACGCCGGTGGCCCCAAGTATCGAGGTGTTGAGACATTCAGGGAACTATTCGGCATCCTCTTCAGTGCTACATCCGGTATCTTTGCAGGGGCTTCGATGTCGGGGGATCTTCGCAGTCCAAGTAAAGCAATCCCAAGGGGAACATTATGGGCCATGGCTGCGACATTCGTCCTCTATCTCGTCGTCATTCTGTCGATAGCTTCTAGTATCACTCACCCTTCGTTTCTCCGCGATACCAATGTCATCTCCACAGTGAGTATATGGCCGCCACTTATTCTCGCCGGCGAGTGTGCGACAACCTTCTTCTCAGCTTTAATGGGAATTATCGGTGGTTCTAAACTTCTTCAGGCTCTTGGCCGAGATAAACTCCTTTCAGGGCTATCCATCTTTGGAAAGGGGAATAAGCGCGACGATCCTATACTTGCAATATTTGTCACATACATAATCGCTCAGGTTTCGCTATTCGCGGACTTGAATCAAATCGCAACTTTCATATCTATGAGCTACCAGGTAAGTTCCCCATGAGATACCAGCCTAGCCTATAGAACTAATACTCGGTATAGATGACGTTCTTCGTCATGAATCTAGCATGTTTCTTGCTAAAGATAGGATCAGCTCCCAATTTCCGTCCCGCATTTAAGTTCTTCAGCTGGCACACTGCCTTTGTAGGAAGTGTTATATCCGCCGCCTCCATGTTCTTCATAGATGAAACGTACGCTGCTGCTGCTATCTGTATTCTCATCTTCCTCTTCCTCATCATTCATTTTATGAGCCCGCCGAAACATTGGGGTGATGTATCTCAAAATTTGATCTACCATCAAGTGCGAAAGTATCTCCTACGACTCAAACCAGAACACATTAAATTTTGGAGACCTCAGATCATACTTCTAATCAATGATCCACGGCATCATACGCGGCTCATCCAATTCTGCAACTCTTTGAAGAAAGGATCCTTGTACATATTAGGACATGTTATCGTGACGGACGATTTCAATACTGGTATACACGAGGCAAAGTTGCAACAATCGGCTTGGGCTCGATACATATCGGAATTCTCAAGAATCAAGGCGTTCGTCCAGTTAACGATGTCGCCATCGATCGTATGGGGAGTGCGGAATCTAATACTCTCAGCTGGCCTAGGCGGCATGAGACCTAATATAGCCATTCTCGGTTTCTACAATATGGATGATTTACGCAAGTCCCGACCGCTTGGACGGATACCAGAAGTCCCAAGCACGCCCACCCGACCGAAATTGGAAGCAAAGGCCGATGGCAAACCTTCGAAACGCCGACGCGGTGATACATCCGCCCGTCTACTAGATGGGTTCCTCCCAACCGATGCCATGCGCACGGAGGGCATGATGTCTGCTGAAAGTTATTTAACGATTCTTGAAGATCTTGCACTCCGCCACCGTCTGAATGTTGCTATTGGCAAAGGGTTTCAAACCTTGGAAACCCCACGCCACGATGGAAATAACACTAAAAGGTATATCGACCTTTGGCCAATTCAAATGTCGGCTGAGATCACCGACGGCGACAGAAGTATTTGGACAACTAATTTCGATACATGTGTGTTCCCCTACGTACAAAAATTGAAAATTGTAGACTGACAGGTAAATACAGATACGTTGATTCTTCAACTTGGTTATATTCTACAAAGTGTTCCAGCATGGAAAAGAGCATTTCAGCTCCGAGTGTTGGTATTCGTTGAGTACGAGAGCGAAATCAAGGAAGAGCAGGCCAGATTAAAGGCGCTTTTAGAAAAGCTACGAATCGACGCTACAATCCAAGTATTTTGGCTTGCTTCGGGACAATTGGAGAGCTACGAGACTATTGTCAATGGTCGAGGAATTGGTTCCGGATATGGGCGTATTGTAAACGAGTTGCTGAAAGACGACGAATGGTGGCAAGAACTTCGGAGGTTGAGGACCGAAGCTCACGAAATGTCTCGATCTCAAGAAATCGCATCCTTAGAGCAAATGCTGAATGCTACTAGACGCAGAGGCAGTTCAGTGTCCAACTCAGATGGCTATCATAGTTTGCCCAGGGGACTTGACGTCAACGAGATACTAGAAATATCCAAGAAACCGACCGTTTCTGCCATTTCAAAATTAGGCGTCAACTTCGGTATTCATACTCACCAGCTGAGCTCTTCCGGATTTGGTGTTCGGACAGATACTAATACACCCGACTTTAGCGACGACGACGACGGTGAATCTATTGCGTCATCAGACGCCGACTTCAACGATGTTACTGGCCCGGCAAATATTGACGTTATGGAAGACTTAACTTCATCACGAAGACCTAGCTTCTCAACGTTTGCGGGACGGAGAAAAAGCCATGGAGATATTATGCAAAGGACGGCGCCACAAAGGAGTCTAGAGCAAATACAAGATCGGCATTTGGGACAGCAGACTATAGCCACCTCGTCCGGGTATGGCACGATAGCCTCTGTGGCAGAGACGGTTTCAACACCAATACTATCCAGCACTAAACGAACGCAGAACTTAGACAATCACCTCAATACTACAGCAGTACCAAGCGAAACATGCCCTATTATACCAAAAGTACCGTCTAGACCCGCTCTATCGCGTCATTCATCAGCAAGCCGGTTCACTAGTAACCCAACCCCGGAAACTACTGTCTTAGTCGACGATTCAGGACCGAGGATCACGTTCTCTGAAGGAGAGCAGCCAACATCAGCCAGATTCAGGCGTCCTATGCTATCACGAAACGTCTCGGCCGGTCCGTTTTCTAGCAGACCCGTTCCGGAGACTACGGTCGAGGCTGAAGAAGACCATGGGCCTCGGCTTACATTTGCGGAACCTGAAAATAGTGTGTCTGAGCCACTATTAAGATCTAGAAGAAACTCGGCGTCGCGAAATGGGGGACTATCATATGCGCAATTTAATATACCGGAGTTACTAGCATCTCACCGTTCGAGTGGCTTATCAGACGAGGATACTCGCTCATCCTACTCGACGCAGAGTCTACCTCTTTCATTCAACGATTTACCTAGTCGCGCTCAGCACCTAATAATTAACCAGCTAATGCGTCAGAACAGCAGCAATACGGCGGTATTGCTTACGACCCTCCCGATTCCCGAGGAAGGGACATGCAAGAGCGAAGAGGCCAGCCTGAGATACTTGACCGATATCGAGGTACTCTGCCACGAACTTCCACCTGTCCTCCTGGTTTTAAGTAATAATATGACTGTGACGGTCAGTCTATAATATAGCACCATCTAGGAGGGGGGCCGATTTAACTAGTAGGGATTGCACAACTATTGTTTTGATTTGTTTTATCACGAAAACGTTATATATAGCGAGACCTTGGTTTTAAATAAGGGACGTTTTCCGTCGTCCGTTTCCGAGTTGATTATCCCTATTTTTCTGAGACTGTTAGGGTCCTATGCATAGGAGGCCATCGTCGAACCGTATACTGCTCTCTCCACGAATCAAATGGTTAGTATGGGGACCCTTTTCAGGCAGAACAATGTCTTGTTCTTCCGACTCTTATACTTGACCTATATTAACAGCCGTGGCCTTTGTTCAAGTGACGTAGTAGTGGGCTTTCTAAAAGCAAAGCTGATAACAATACTACTATTCACTTGGATAGTTTAGGGCTGACATACATATTACGGACATATTTTGCTTTATTCAAGCTACTGGTTAATCTATCCTCCAGCTGGATCGAAGACATCTGGACGAAAAATCAGCCGTGAGATATGTTACACACTAACATAGGAGATACGAGTAACACACCAGCTGAAGGTCGGATGTTAGGTAGGCCAGCTCCACGTCAGGGTAGACTCGATTCACCTAACCCCCTGACGATATCAATGCAGTCTTTTTATTATTCAGCATCTATATAATAGACAATCATCCCTTTGGTGTAAATAACAATGCGTTGGTTAAGGAAGCATGAATGACAAAGCACAATGCTTCATTATGACACCCTTATGATTCACAATGCTAACAATCACAGTCTAGTTTGCGACGAAAGAAAGGAGTCATATATCCGACCCTACATGATCAAAGAACCGCTAATTCACTCCTCTCATCTTTCTATGTACTAAACAAAAAAACACGCCGTTGTTAATGACTTGGAGCCTATTCCTGCGGCGCGTTGCCGCTTGACTCTAAAACTTTTTTGACTTTTCACTACTTATCAATGTCACTCATTACTGACGCCATGATTTGGCATTTATGAACGCATAGCATATTCATTTCCTAACAGCATAGCGATTTTTATTATTACTATTTAATATTTAATACTTAATACTTAATATTTCTTTTTTACCTATATTATACATTAATCTCACTAACTTATATAATACGGCGGGAGATATTCCTCATCAAAAGGATCACGGAACAGGAGACAGATGGTAGACGAACGTCACCGTCACCGAAGCGCGGGGTCGCCCCGTAAAAGTAGTTTCACTGCCGGCCTAAAGCGCAATAACAGCAGCGGCAGTATATTTTCGAGGGTCCTTGGGAGTTTTCGACATAAGAATAATGGGGATAAGGGGAAGAAGACGTCGGCGCAAGATAAAGAGGAGCGGCAGGATTGGATGGCCAACTATAAAGGCACACATCACCCAGACCGGCCGCTTGTAGATAAGCGTACTCAGGAGGTGGTATCTGATGAAGAGTACGCCGCGCGGCTCGGCTGGGTACGGGAGAAGAGCCATATTCGTTACGACCTGAGCGACCCCGGCGGACCGCCGCAGGCCCCTGTGCCTAATTTTAGTTATTCGTCGATGAGCCCGAGGAGCCATAGGACGAGCTTTGTATTCCCGACGTTCACCAAGACGGGGCAACCATCTCGCGATCGGGCACCATCAAGAGAGATCTCTCCTACGAACCCGGGCGTAGCCTCTCCGATACTACCTGGCGTTGGGACGATACGAATATACAATGCGAGTGCCTTAGATAGAGGCCCTATCATCCGGTATAGCGAGGGTTCCGGGAGACTTAGATCTCCGCCGCCAAGGAAGATGTCCGACGGCAGACAACCTTCTGGGAGGCGTGGCTCACGGGCTTCGATGCTCGGAGAGAAGAGAACCATGGCTGGTATCGATATAACTGATCCGCCGAAGCGCGAGCCCAAGACGTCGGCATATAACGGCTCTTCTGCCAGCAAGCACACACCCGGCCTCATCCTAAACTCGTCGCCAACTTTACCCTCAGGACCACAAACATGTCCCTGGCGCGGCTGCCACGCCGTCCTCGGAACTGCGCAAGAGAAAAAGGATAACCTCTGCACTATATGCCACGAGGCCATATATCCCCGGGAAAGCGCATTCTTCGACCCGCCTCCGCCTCCGCGCGCCGTCCCGGATACCCATCTCGAGACGCTACATGCTCTCACCGGCTCTCCTACTACTGCTGACGCCGGGCACACCCAAGCCCGCACTATCCGCAGACGGCCTGCTGGCCTCGACAAGCGTTCTAGCGTCGAGGGTTTCAAGTTACAACCCGCGCCGCGGGGGAAGAGGCGGCATATTGCCGAAGCGCGGAGGAGTAGTGCCGGTGATGATAGTGATAGCGATAGTGACACCGGCAGCGAGAAGGAGAGCGGGAACGAAACAGGCAGGTCGGTCTGGAGTGCTTTCTCCTCCTCGGACCACGAGCAACAGACTAGCCCCGGGACCCAAGACGCCGATTCGTTCTCTCCACTGCACGAGGGGATTTTCGGAAGCAGCCCTAGAATTAGATCTTGGGGTATCAGGTTCTCCGAAGGAGTTAAGAACGATGGAAGTGATCACATGGACGAGAACGGTAACAAAGGGGAAGAAGGAGAAGAAGAAGAAGATGAAGAACTCATTTCTCCACATACCAAAGCACCCAGCGATAAATCCTGGACAACAGACGATTACTCCACCTCCAGCAGCAGCAACAACAATAGCAACGAGGACCTAATGTTCCCATTCTCCGACCCCGACATGGAAACAACGCGAGAGCTCTACCCGCCTCCGCTACTCCAAAACGGCGAGCGAGCAGCAGCCCACCAGCCGCGGCGGCCGAGCCAGCTCTACCACCGCCCCAGGGACACGCTGCTGTATAGGGACATCGAGGATATAATCGACTGCTACGCGGACCCCGAGGAGACTACGACGGGGACGGCGGAGCACAGGCACGAGAGCCGCAAGGCCGATGCCGTCGGGTCGTACTTTGTCGCAGGCGGATCGGAGGCGGAGGAGATGAGGAGGAGGGGGTTTATCTAGGTAGGAACATGCGATCCGGGTAGGTCAAGTCAGGTACCTAGGCAGGCATATTATCATGCATAGAGAAAATAGCGTATGAATTAACGAGAGGCTCTCTATATATCTATATAATATAAAGAGGCATTACTTGTGAAGTTACCTAGCCTAATAGCAGCGAGCAAGACATGAAAAAAACACGGCGCACTAAAAACAAACACAGGACAACGCGATGTAATGTAATGTAATGCAATGTTAATTAAAACTCCGATGGCGATGGCCAAGTGACCGAGACAAGTCATCATAGGGATGTGTCCTATGGAGTAAACGTAGGTCGATAGGTAGACCCTGTACAAAAAACCAGATGCAATCCCATATCAACAATCATGGTGGTTGTCCACGTCCACCTTTTCCTTTTCCTAATGCAAAGCCTGGGAGAATTAACTCAACCTATTCGGGAGTATAAAACATCTGGTATCTAGAACAACCCCTGTAACCATGTCGCGCATTAAGAAATGTTAATCACCGCCTCCCTCTCCAGCTCGTTGCACCTGCTGGCCCTGCTTCTGGTGGCCTTTGTGCTGCTGCTGCTGCTGCTGGTTACGGCGATCCTCCTTCTGACGGCCCTGCTGTCCCGTCTCCTGGGCATTCTTCTTGCCCTTGCTCTGAACAGGCTGGCTCTCTGCCTGTTGTCTTGCGGGCTTGGCAGCAGGCTTGCCCGACTTTGAAAGGCCCTCGGCCGCCGTCTAATCGATCTCGAGGGCGCTTCCGTCACGGCTACGCGAAGGAGAGAAAGTATGTTAGCGCCTATGCTTACCACTGTCAACTGAAGCAAGGAAATAAATTACTTACGGGATGTGGGTGTGGCCCTGGTCTTCCATTGCCTGTTTAATGTCCTCCGGAAGAGAACCATTCACCTTAATGGCATAGGTACCGGGGACGAAGGTGTCAACGCGCTGCCAGCGCGCAACCCAGGAACGACGAGGTTGGAAGTAGGCGGCAGTGCCCTCGAACTGGCTTGAGGTACAAGCTTCAATAGCTTCGGGCGATCCCTTCAAGTCAAGGAAAGGGCAGTTAGGGCAACCTTCCGCGCGGAAGTGCTGTCGGGTTTATCCAGGTTAGCATTGCTTCGAATTTGATTTGGATACATATTTATTAAGATAGCTGGAATTGGCAGGAAGGGGAATTCGACATGAAGAATACGTACTGATTGGGTCATAATGATAGAGCACACCATGCACGCGCGGGCATATCGCCACTGGTTAGGCGCGATGACCATGCCGAGCAAGTTCTGGGAAGCCATCTCGGAAGCTGTGTCAGGGGTTGTATTGGAAGATAGGTGGTGGTTGGCAGCTTTAGAGCTGGAGGCTTTTTTTGCCACGACTTTGATTGCCAGAAGCCTGGTGGTCAGAGTCTTTGTGGTCAGAGCCTTTTGGGTCAGAACCTTTGCAGTCAGAACTCTGGTGGCCCGAGCCCTCTTTGTTGGAACCTTGATTGGAGCCTCCTTGGTCGGGATCTTCAGGATCGTCGCCGCCCTGATCTTTATATTTGTCCTGATCGCAACCCTTGCCAGAGTTGTCTTCTTCTTCGCTATCGGAAGCCTCTTCGTTAGAGTCTTTACCGGAATCGTGGCCGGCGCCTTGAGCCTGGTTATCGGAACGGTCGTCCGAAGGATGATCAGCGTGTTCAACCTCTACTTCGTCGTTAGGCCCGTGCTCTCCAAAATAATAGCTTAGATCGAACTCTTGATCTCCGCCTTGCTCTTCCTCTTCCTCTTGCTCTTGCGCTACGTCTTCGTTCTCCTCGCTCACCGCTTCCTCCTCGAACAAACCCTCGCTGTACGAATTTTCGTCGGCGGGATCGTTGCCGTCGGGAAAGAGTTGGAAGTCAGGGACCTGATCGGGTGCTAAGGCAAGGAGGTACAGAGGGACGACTCCTTCAAGGATAATATCGTTGATGAACTGAGGGATATCTTCAAGGTCAAGACGAATAGTGTGAGGGGAGTACTCAGAAGGGTCGTAGGCGAAGTCCTCAAAGATCTGATTGTGGAAATAGGCGTTCGAAACTTGAGAAGAAACGTAGCCAGGGGGGAGTGGGCCACCTTGATTGGGGACTTGGTTGGGAATGGGAATGTACTGGCCGGGAGAACTACCTTGATTGACAAAGTCTTGATAGATGGGGTCGTGATTGGAAGGCTCTGGAGTGGGAACAGCTTGTTCGGGAACGTTTTCGTTAGCAACACTGTCTGGAGTGTTGAATGGGACGTAGTTTGGAATTGGACTATTATTATTATTGGTGGAAATCAGGTGGCTAGAAGAGGCCTCGTCACTAGGAGCTTCGTTACCAGGAGCCTCGTTATAAGTTGTAGAGGTAGAGGCTGCAGGTGTTGCAGGTGTTGCAGGGACTGCACGGGCTGCAGGCGGGTTAGCTCTTTGTCGGGATAGCCGAGCTCGAGCCCCTTTGTTCTTAGCCTGCTGCACTCGGTTCATTATGGCGGTTATATGAATTCCGGTTTGATGCAACTCGCTTAACAACTCTGGTGATGTGGGTGATGTGGAGGGGTAAGTTCGGATAAAATAATAAATCATGCAACTATCCGAATTATTTGTGTATGTTTATATATTTGTCTGAGGGGCAGGTGATCTTGGCACCTGCCCTTGTTCCTGTGGTGGGGCGGCCTGTGCACCATTAGGCGATTGCAATTCACTGCCAAACTAAGTGGACCATGCATCAAGTGCATATAGGTACTACTACACCTAATTTACTATGTAAAGGTACAGTTAGTCTACCTTTTTTCCAAAAAATCAAAAGCAATCAAATCAAAAGCAATCAAAGTTACAATTTGGAAAGTGCATTCAATTAACCGAGTGTACTTAGATACATACCTAGGTAGGTATCTATCAAAGATGTATGCCCGATGGCTGATCTCAAATTCTTAAAATGGAAGAATTCTTTGAGAAGGAAGTTCGTCCATGCGCGGCCTTTAAGCGTTTTTATTGGGTCCATTTTTTAAGAATAACGGGTTTTACCAGATTCCCCACTTTTGTAAAAAAAGGTCGAAATACGTACTGTTTTGAGCCTTTTTCCAGGATGTTAAAGGTGCTAAGGGGTGCTAAAGGGGTGCTGAGGGTGCCGAGCCGTGGGTAAGGGTTGCTGAGGGTATTGAGGGTATTAAGGGTGCCATTTTCGAGGGTATCGAGTTTGTTGCCGTTGCTGGCGTGCGGGCGGGCGGCACGTGATTGATTTTCAGTTAACTACGTCCTTTGTAAACTCGGGTTATTGTGGTGCCCCACAGGGGTGCCCTCTTGTTTTTCTACTTTACAATTCTACACGAACAGATGGAAATGCATCCTTCAAAAGCCACCCTAACTAGGACTAGCCATCAATAATATTACTTCAGAGACAAGAGCATTATATCCCAATAATAATAATAGAGGCCATAATGACTGAACAAGCTGATACATCAATGACCGATGCATCAATGGCCGGCACGCAGAGTGCAACCAGGGTCAAAAAGTCACACGAGCTGGTTACAGTTACTATCAAGGCACCACGGTATTCCTACGCACACCTCGAGCTTTTCAGTGCCTCGGCCGACCCAGGTGTATTAGATGCTCTCCAAGTGCGGTCAAAATGTACAGCTGCCTTGAAGCAATTCCTAGGCACTACAGGTCTTGGAATGCCTCTAGATATTCTTAAGGTAGAGGGAAAGGACTGTTGGTTAAGAGTTCCCCGAGATGACTTATCAGCCTTCTCCGCAGCCATTACGGCTTGGCAAGGCTCTTATCAAGACGGTGTTCACTCATCACTTCGAATACGAGGGTGCTCTGACTGGCTTGGTGCTTTGGTGGGAAGAGATGGGGAGGATGAGCTGTGGACTGGCTGAAACTTGACCGACGAAACCACCTTGTCAATCATTACCAACACGCCGAGAAGCAAAATAATCTCAAACCACATTTTGTATTGCTACCGCCCTAATGGTATATCCTGTTTCCTCTCCTTGTCCCCGCAACGCCATTGCTTCCCTGACGATCAAGTGCCATATATGCAAAGATGCCACGTTAAGCCACCGTCCAATGCAAGATCACCGTTTGGAAACATCAAAACTAAAATGCCTCTTACATCATCGACATAAGGGAGTTATTCGCATACGCCTAAAAAGGGTTAGCTTGGCGTATTCGCCTTGTAGCTAAGATAGGGACTTACCATCGGTCGGATCGGAGGATGGGGAACAGCATCAAATTGGTTGAAGTTTAACTTATAGTCGGGACCAATGTTGATGTACGCGCCCCTGTTCTCTGTCTGGTCACAATATTTCGGTGCCGAGAAGACTTGGAACTAGTTAGCATATAGGAATTGACCCAACTCAGGGGACAACTTACCGGTAATGCACTTTCCATCGTGCTCCTCTTCGTAACCATCCATACGGACTTCGTGGCTTCGAATGATAGCATCCAGGCCGTTCTTCTCGCAGAACCTCTTTGTCACGTCCGGTCCGAATTGCATACCCACTCCTCGTTTGCTGGGACCTCGTCCAGGGGCTGTTTGAGGATCCGTCCAGAGCATTTCCATCATCAGGCCGGCTTGACCTGGTTGCCTTTGAGCATGCCTATTGACCTTTCGGATATCATCAAGAGTGACGTTATCATCTGAAAATAGGCCACCATGCAAGACGAGATACTTGGAACCGATGAGTGTTGCCAATGGTAGTGCGGAAAAGCTTTCGGAGAACAGCTTGAATACCCTAGAGCCTGATTAGAATATGCGAATGGCTTTAAACAAAACAGTTGCTGACATACCTTTCATTGTACTTTGCTTTGCACTCTCCCTCGAATCCGTAAACCTTATTCATGTCGTCGGTTTCGTGATTGCCTCTGTTTAGGAACATGCCGCTGGGGCGTAGCCACTTATAGGCATATAATAATAGGGCGATTTCTGTTGACCAAGAACCTCGATCTACGAAATCTCCGTTGAACAAGTACCAATGCTTTTCAGACGGACGACCATTCAGTCTGAAGAGCTCCATCAGATCGTAGTATTGTCCTATAGCAAAATTAGTTCTGATTCGTCACACCTTATACTCTTTAACTCACCATGTGTATCACCACAGACAGTAAGCTTCACATCGTCCGGAATCTTCATTTCTACCATAGTAGGTTCGTTGTATACGATATTCTTTACCGCAATTATGATTTGGTAGACATATTTCTTGTGTATCTTCTTTCCATTCTTGAACCTCTCGATCATGTCGTCAATGAACTCCTGGGTCATCTCGTCCTTGAGCTCTACACCGTCGTAGTCTGATTCGACGGCCATGGATGCGATATCGAGACCCTCCGCCGCAGAGGGCTCTTCTCCTACGTCGATAGCGGCATAGAAGTTTAGCTGCCGTACGATCTTTTGGCACTCGGCAAGCTTCAGCTTGGCATCCTTGTTCGCCGGGTCGAGCTCGACGCATTTCTTGAAATCTCGCACGGCATCCTTAGGTTTTAGGATAGCAGCAGAGGCTACGGCGCGGCGGAAATAAGCCTATTTTAAGCCAGGTTAGTACTTAACGAGAAGTGACCAACTAAACTAGAATTCGGATAGTAGTGACTATACTTTTACGAATTTGGGGTTAATCTCGATCGCTTTGGTAGCATCAGCTATAGCATAACCATAAGATTCTGACTTGATATGCGCCTAGGATCGGGAGTAAGGTTAGTCACGCGAGCGTTTAAGGCTTGAATAGGGTACTACAAACTTGAGCCCTATTCGTGAAATATGTCGGCTCTTTATCGTTCAACTCGATAGCCTTGGTGTAGAGGTCGATTGCTTTAGGCCAATCGTGAGCCGCAAAAGCTTTGTTGCCCTCATTCTTGTAGGCCGTTGCCTGGTCTACTGCAGAGGCCATCCTTCACGACTTATTGGGGCGGCGGAAGAAGGCTGCAAACGGAAAGCCGAATAAGATGGATGGTTTTACGGGTCAGGGTAGGAAAATAGAGAGAATAGGATAAGCAATAATATCCGAACGTCTAAATTCGACGGTATTAACAATAACTAAATTTAATAGTGCTGACACCTAAAAAATTATGTTGTATGTGTGGTTGAGGCAGCTTCGAGTTCGGCGCTTCTGGAGAAAAGACGTTGATCGGAACTCGGAGCTTACGATATGGAAATTTGGAGGGGCGAAACGGCGTGGGGTTGGGTTCTGGATTCTCGATTCCTCTACGGACCTCGAGAATTATACACTAGGTGGATACCTACCCAGGTACCTAAGGTACCTAAGGATAGGCGATAACCTAGTCGAAGCTTCTTTGTTACCTAAGATACTCCGTTCCTTGCATAGGTACCTTCAATGAAGATAAGGAGGTACTATACAGACACCTCCTTCACGGCAGGGTGTATTTCTATGTAAAGGCATCTGCACTTAAAAGATGAGTAATGCTTATTATCCTAATTGTATTTCTTAGTTACATAATATTGCCTTAATTCATTGGCACACATTCTTCCTAAAAAGTAATCCTTCAAAGTCCTTTCGAGTCCCATTCATACAACCTTCATACATTCATACTAAGCTCTAGTGAAGCACAGCACCCTGATACTTTCACAGCCTCATAATAGTCTACCATCTTAGGTATTTACTATTGCGCGTAAAGCCCTTGAAAGTCTACAGTGCGAGGCTTCAGTGTTTGCTCATAGTTAGACAATCAGCTCTTTATCCTTGTATTTCTTCTTCTATGAATTTCTCATGAGCCTGCAGGCGAAAAAGGCCGCACCATGTCTGAAGAGCTTCAGGATGAGCTTGAGGCCATCAATTCGATATATGGCGAAGGTTGCTTGGCACCGTCGAGCGAAGCCAATGTGTATGTTTTATCACCACCCGGAGAATCATCCTCCCTTCGTATCGAATTTCCCCCTACCTATCCCGCAGTACCTCCAATTGTTCTAGGTACTAATAGTACTGGCGAGCACGGAAAGCGTGGCGATGCAGCCCGGGAATTATCTCTGTTCTGCCAGGCAGTGAGCACGGTTTACCAACCAGGGACTGTCTGCCTCTTCGATGCAATCGAGGAATTAACTCGGCTTCTAGAGTCCGAGATTCCAGAGGAACCCCAACACGAGGATACTTCCAATGAAGATGACGCAGATCCTCAACTCCCCGCTAAATCCGCAACAGATTCCAAGCAGATCAGCGTGCGAGAACCTCCCTGGATTATGTCAGATGTATTTGTTGAGTTGAAGTCGACTTTTGTAGCTCGATGCGCTCAGGTGTCATCGACTGAGGAAGCCGAGGCGTTTGTCCAGCACCTTCTCTCCACTGACAAGAAAGTCCGAAGTGCTACGCACAATATCACAGCATGGCGCATAAAGGGCCCGAATGGTACTACGTTTCAAGATTGCGATGATGACGGCGAGACTGCCGCTGGTGGCCGGGTCCTGCACCTTATGCAGTTGATGGACCTCTGGAACGTGATGGTAATTGTTACCCGATGGTACGGGGGACATAAACTTGGTCCTCGCCGGTTTGCCCTGATCAACCAAACCGCCAGAGATGCATTTGTTAAAGCTGGCCTGGTTTCTGAAAATCCTAACAAGAAGAAAGGACCGGGAAAGAGTTAAGAGTTAAAGACACACGTGACGGTGCCAAGTAAACGCCTTGTCACACTGTGATTTGCACAGATGCCTCGGTTCTCCGCGCATTTTTATATGCTTGATCTCTTCCGTCCATCAACGGGTTTCTTCTCGCCCAACGTCTCGCGGTTTAATGCCCACTATCATTCTCTAAGAATGTAAAAGCTTCTCAATTCTACAAGGATTAAAGACTCATCTAGTAGATGCTGCCACGGCTCAACGTTCTCATCCAATACCAAACTTAGCACTCGAAAGAATGGTTAGTCCACCACCACTTCAGGGGCTTAAAGTCCTTGAATTTGCTGGTTTAGCGCCTGGTAGGTCATACTCTTACAATCCATCAAACATCCGTGGGATTAATATGCAATTAGGACCTTTCGCTGGTTTACTTCTAGCAGATGCTGGCGCCAAGGTCCTTCGGATCGATCGTCACACGACTGGTATTCAAGTGGTGCCGACACCCGATATGCTTACAAGACATAAATCTTCCGTAGCTGTCGATCTGAAGTCGCCAGATGGTGTTGGCTTTGTTAAAAAATTAGCTAAGACGGCTGATGTAATAATCGATCCGTTCCGCCCAGGCGTGTTGGAAAAGCTCGGCCTTGGCCCGCAGGTTTTGTGTGCCACGAATCCTCGTCTTATTTACGCCCGTCTGACAGGATTCCGTCGTGACGGCAAGTATGCCCAGATGGCTGGCCACGATATCAACTACCTCGCTGTAGCTGGAGTGCTTTCCCTGCTGGGCCGAAGAGGGGAGAAACCGCACCCACCCCAAAACATCCTAGCAGACTTCGCTGGCGGAGGGGCCACATTGTTTCAAGGTATTTTACTCGCTATTATAGCCAGGGAGAAAACGGGAATGGGACAAGTCGTTGAGGTAAACATGGTAGACGGTACTAGCTATCTGACGACTTTTACTCGACAATTATTGAAGTTACCATTGGGCAATCTTCCGCGCGGCGAGAACGTGCTAGATGGAGGATGCCCATATTATGATACGTACGAAACGAAGGATGGGAAATACATGGCAGTAGGAGCTTTAGAGCCGCATTTCTATGCCGCTTTCATCAAAGGTCTAGGCTTAAGCAACCAAACTTGGGAGAAGCGGCATTCCGATCGACAGTCCTGGCCGGAAATGAAACGGCAGTTTGAAACAATATTCAAGTCAAAAACGCGCTCAGAATGGGAGACGATCTTCGATGGCACTGATGCTTGCTGTACTCCCGTACTAGACTATTCTGAACTAGAAACGGACATTAATCGCGAGGGTGACCAACGCCCAGCGGCGACGTTACGCGAAACGCCTTGCCTGGCTATTAGCGAGAAAGCTACGGATCCAAGTGTTCACGGTCAGGGTCCCGGGGTTTCCGGCGGTAGCTACATTGGCATATATCTCATTCCAGGTCAAGGGGGCGAAGAAGCCCTAACGAACTGGTTCGGATGGAAGAAAGGGGAGGACTTCGACATCAAAGATGGCAACGTCGTATTAAAACCCCAATCAAAGCTATAAAAGAGGAAATCTAAAAGAGCAGGTTTAAACCAAAAGCATGCACGCCTTTATCTACCCGGGGGGTTTTAAACGCCTATTTGCTCTTTGCCTCCCAGGATCTTTTCTATCAGAGCCACAGCCACAGCCTAAAATATGACCCGACGGTTCCACTAGCTTCCATCAGCTTCCGTAAGATCGATACCAAGGACTTTTCCCCTTTCTGTCGATATCAAGCGACGCCTTCGAACCTATTATTCAGCCTGGTTTGGACCACGAAACTAGCTTCATCACTACATAGAAGTATGAGTCGGTCTGGCCTAAAAGTGGTTCCTATGAGGGGCAAGAGTCTCACCTCCAAGATAATCTGGATACATGTCAACTATATGTCGACGTCCTGCTCGGACTTGGCGGTGGTGCCGGGGGAGGAGACGGCGGGTCGCTTCTTGACATATCTGCCATATCTGCGATATTATTCTTCTGAAGACTCGTTTAAGAGAACCGAACAGAAATGATTCTTGGCAATATCGAATTGTCTTCTTTTTGAGTCGTTTGTTAGGATAACCAGATCAGGACCACCACAACTCAAATTACCTTTGGACTAACGTGAAGATTTATATAGATATGTTCCCGACTCGCGGTGTAGGTGTCTCAGATGAGGTAGATATAAGAACAGCGCCCCCCACGGTATATACTATATACATACAGTTCCCTGCAAGCAGCCAAGCAAGGTCGATATTATTATTATTATTATTCCATGTTAGAACCAAAATACTCCTTTTCTTATCCTGTGTCACCGCCTCGATGTTATTTAGTAACAGGTACATAAGGTCGTATGTGAGTGACCAGTCATTCTGCACGTAAAATCTACTGTTTCCCGGTGCTTTTTCTACGGTTGAAGGTATGTAATAAGGAACAAAGCCGGTTCGACAGTTTTGACCGCCAACTCATTCATGCAGCGAGCTTATTTTTTTTTTTTTTTTCGTTTTTCCTTCCGTCCCGTTCTAATTCTTTAACAGGGGGCGGATTATATTACCAGGTTCTAAAGCTCGGTGTATGTGTAAGCACTGCACACCTAGGCATGCAGCAATGCAGGTTATTCCATACCCTGCCTCGACCGGCCCGCCCGTCCCTCTAATTCCCATTCCTATGTACTACGGATACATCCCATCAACCCATCGCCTCTTCTCCTTCCAATCAGAGCCGCACCCGATTGCCGGCGGATTGCGGTCTGCCATGGGGCTAGCGGTATAACCGTCGTTTCCGGGGCTAACTGCCCATGGGGGATGGTGGGTTTACCTTTATCTACCTAGGTATGTAGGTATGCAGGTATGTATGCGTAGGCAAGGTGGCGTGGCGTCATATCATGGTTAACTTTATACATATATGGCTTTACATATATACTACTACTACTACCACTACTACCTGCTGCTCCCGTAAGGCTCTCGATACCGACGTTGGCCCTGGTCTTGCCTTACCTAGGTAAAGCTCTCCGGTTGAGCTGCAGCTAGACCGAGATCCCTCCTTGGCCCCCAAAGCGTGTAACGGAATAATTTACAATTTTCTACTCACATCAAAGCCGCTGCTTAACACTTATATTATACCAGTTCTCACCGTCACCACGTGTAATTCTAGTCAGACTAAGCACTGAAACTTTACAGCCTTGCTTTAAGGCGTAGTTATGTTGAAATATACCATCTTCTGTAACCCAAACATATACCAAACAAATTTGAGATATCTAAACTGTCTCGTCTCTCACTCAATCCTCTTTCTCTCTTTATACTTATTCCCACGTATCCCACACATACCCCCAAATAAGTAAATAAAAACCCGAGAGCCCCCCAATTTCCACCCCCCCCCCCCCTCCTCTCAAAATTATTAAAAACCTGTCAGATCTCAAATATGTGATCCCTCATTTATGTACCTAACCTATATCTTATTCCCCTGCGTCCGTCCGTCGGGCCGTCGCATATGCTGCCTGCACCGTAGCATGACAGGAGCAGCCTCAGATCCCGGGCAGGGATCTTCAGCTGTTCCCCTGCATTACCTAGGTACATACATACATAGATACATATATATCCCGTATATAAATATAAATATAAATATAAATAAATATATATATATATATAAATAAATATATATATATATATATATATATATATCTGCGTGGGTAGACAGGTATATAGGCCCGAGAAACACGGGAGCAGGGGACGGGACAGGGAGCTTCCCGGGGAAGCAAGGCGGTGGGAAACTTTAGGTAGATTAGGTAGCTAGGTATGTATGTATGTATGTAGATGACAAAGAAAGAAACGTGGGATGAGGCGTTGGCTGGCGTTTCGGGAAAGGGTAGATCTACATATAACTAAGTATAACTATCATATTTTATACACAGTATGCGAGTAAGTGAGCGGCATACGTACATGATATTGTACATAAACACGGGATGATAATTACAAAAAGAAAACAAACCAAAAATAAAATCACACAAAAAAAGAGCAAGGTAGACAGATACGTCGTTATAATTATAGATTAAAGTATTACTTATCGCATCGCAACGTGTAAACCCTGACCCTGACCCTAGATGACGTTACAAGCCATCCATCCGTCCGTAGGCTCGCCCTACCTACCTATCTGCCACACCGTGTCTTACAGGGTAACTAAATCTTCACCACCCCTTCATCCATCCCCATAAACAAAACTAGCATGCTACCTTAGATACCGAAGACCTAAGGTAGTACATAAGTAGGTAGCATTCACACTTCGGATCTCCACGGCCGCCCTACGTTCGGGCCCAGACCCCCGATCCTCCGCTTTACCCCAGTCCCAACCCCCCGGGTCCCGTCGGCGTTCGCCGGGGGGAGCAGGGCGGTGACCCTTGCTTCGCGGGTAGCAAGAAGAAGGGAAAAAAAAAAAAAAAAAGAAAATTCGTTCTGGGCTAGGTATGCCGAGTATGCAAATATGCGACCTTCGTCACGTCACGTCCCGTCTCGTCTCCTCGGTGAACATGATCCCTGGCCGTATTATAATAAAGGACCATCACCCCTATCTATCTCCCCTATCCTTATCCCTATCCCTATTTCCTGGTTAACCCCCAACCCCCCTCCCCCCTAATCATCGAGATCCCGTATCAAGCAAGCCAACCCGGCTCGCAGAACTAGCACGGTCAAAATCCAGATCGAGAAGGTGAAAAGACCGACCTATCACGCAGATCAAAAAACATACACCGGTAAAGACATTTGAAAAGGCTGACGAAAAAAAAAACGAGTTTTTGGGTTCAATTTTCTCATCCTAGGTACATTAATCATCCCGTGTTTCATCTCTCATCGTGGGAATCGGCCTTGCTATTTCTCGTCTTATCTCATCTACCGACGGACCGAACGTGTCTAAAGGGGGAGTGCTGGGGTATGACATGACATGACTAATGTATATGAAAAAGGGGGAGAGAGGTAGGGAGGCATACTCAACAAGACCCGACCACTGATTGCCAATAAAAACTAACAACAACACTCCGGCGATAGCTCGGCACACTTTCTTCTATATCGCACGGAGACCATAGCCATTCTAACTGACCGACCAGAAAGTATCTGATGCCCGCGGCATGACATTGACTGATCCTCCGCATTACTGAACTTGACTGACGATCT